GTGGAAGAGATGGCGTGGACATCAGGGAGAAGGTAGTGACACACACACACACACACACACACACACACAGAGGGTTGATGTTTATTATTCATTCAGTAGGTCCTGTGTTCTGTGGAAAAGTAGCCACCTAAGAATAAAGATGTCAAATAGAGTTGGGTTAATGTGTGCAGCTGGTTATTATCTTTGGTCGAGCAGCAGAGGCGTCTAAAAGTACTGGTGTCAAGGAGGGTCAAAAATAGTTTTTTAATGGGCACTGTGCTGGTAAAATGCAGCCAGATCCAGGGCATATGAGACCATTTCTGTATTTTTATCAAGACTCAAACCTTTTAACTAACCTGCAGCTGGTTTGTCCCAGACTTATATTTAGTTAATATGTTTGGTTAAATTTGAACTTGGCTTACATTTGCTTGTCTTTGACAATTTTGTTTTTTAGATACTTATGCAAAAGTCGCAATATCTCTCAGCTGCACTCTCTGGAAATATGTATCGCAGTATCTCTCAGCTGCACTCTCTGGAAATAATTTGGCTAAATTATAATTAGTTTAAACCAACATTTACAGTAGCTTTTTAATGCTTTCCTGCATAAACCACCGTTGTTAGCCAGGGTGTGAGTGTGCAGGGAAGAGGGAACAGACAAGGCGATGAGTCAGCTGTGTGATCTGTTCAGTGACCTTCATTAAATTTTACAGAGAAGTGCTAAAAGTATCCTGGTTTCTAAGAATTATAGTAGAACGTGCGAGCTTTCTGTGTGTAACTTTAGCTACGTGTAGTTGAAAAATAGGTTAGTAATTAGGAAATGAAACATATATTTATATGACACCACATAATATGGTGCTGTTTACTCAACAACAAAAAATACTGAATCACTGTTATTGGTTCCAAAGAGTGGTTCTATAAAGGGGAAGAAAAACCAGACTGAACAAAGATAAAAAAAAAATCTAACTCAGCTCAATGTGATGTCACAGAGCCAAGAGCTTCAATAAGTTAAGTTGGGATTAATGAGTTCAAACTTTGAATTAACTATAATACAATTAATCCCAAATACTATATGTTGTATGTGTTGTACTATATTTTGAATAAATAGCCCTGCTCAAACCAAGCAACAACAACAATGCTTCATTTCTTTGCTGCAATAAATCATTAATAATGTTTTATAAAGCAATTAAACATCTTCTAACGTTGACCATTTGCTCCACTACAAGAGACAATAACTTAAGTAATAATGCATCACAGATGAGCTGACAAATGTAACAACAACCTTACTGAAAAAAGCCCTTTGAAAACCCTCAGACATAACTAAGGCATGAGTAAAGAGGTGAGTCCGTCATCAGAGGGCGGAAGCAATTTGTCCAGAGAGCTGTTTACCAGTAGTTTAGGATCACACCTGACACCTTCTGTTTTTAATGAGGTCCTCCAGAAAATGTCAGCATCTCACTCAGCCTTTAAAGTCAGGCTCAAGGTAAACACAGAGTCTGGAGAGTTTGAGTCTGGGCTAAAAACCAACCCTGAGGAAACACAAACACGTTTACATTTCTAGAAGAAAAATCTTTTTTTTCTCTCGATAACGACCCTGTAGGCGATGCACAATGACTTATCAGTAATCCCCAGAGTGTGATGGTTCATTAATTAGAAAAACAGATGTATTTTGTTTGTTTGTTTTACTTTTACACCCCGTCGTATCTTATGGCAGAATTGAATTGGTTTTTAATGAGTAGAATTTGTAGAGAAATGGGAGCTCAGTTTTGCGAAGTGGACACTGTGACCGTTTACACTGGAATGAACATGGTAGAGGTTGGAGATGGTATAAATAGACTGGCTCTGTGTGTTTCTACACTTCACACTCAGAGATGGACTGATAACAGAAACAGATTTGGTTCTGGTTTTAGCCTGATTTGGGATCAGTTCCACCTGCCCCCCCTGGAGCATTTATTAGGAGAGGAGGGAGATGATAGATGTAAACAGCTTTCTTAAATAGCAGCCATGTGTTTATCCCTCTCTCACGTGTAAACAGCCATTCTTATCAGCAGTAAACATGCACATCATGTATCTGACTGGAACATGGATGCTGTTTGCTGCCCACTCAGCAATATCAGTCTTTTGAATGCATTATAGAGAATAGGCAGAATATCTGCAGCCTCATCAAGGGGCTGACCTGATCACTCCACACAGGAAAGCACTTCACTCAGCACAGCAGGGAGATTCTCTCATCCTCTGACTCACCCGCCCCCTCCCCTGGGGAATCAGAGCTGACAGATAGATGCTGTGCTGCTCTGAAACACTACAGTACATCAGCAGCAGCAGCAGCAGCAGCATCAGTGGCAGTGTAGAGGTTTGATAAAGCAACAGTGCAGCCTTGGTTTGTGCTGTGTCAGCAGACCTGCAGCTGGACAATAAGCAGAGGAGAACCTCGAAGGTCAAGAGGTCATGAGGGACTTGGGCTGTAAATAAGAACTGACTGTTGTGTCGTCCAGGACAATTTGGGTGGAAATTCATAGACATTCATAGACATTTACATCAATATAGTAAAACTATAGTACTTCGCTTTACTTTTTAGGCCGGTGTATTTATTACAATACAAAGTATTATTATATTATTTACGTATATACGTATATTTATCTTTTTGAACCTCCCCCACACTGTTATCAACCCTCACTAGACTCTATTACCCTTTACCACACAATTACATGCACAGCAGAGTTGTATAATGGCGACACGGAGCAAAGTAAACGACAGTCAAGGGGAGATGCTGAGAGATGCTACGATGCATGAGCCAATCAGTGTGAGTAACAAAGAGGAGAGCATGCTCAATTAGCCAATAGTACACTGAGAACACATTGTATTAGCCAATAATATGCTGTACACGATCTCGTCTAGGTAAACAAAGCAGTGATCGTTCACAAACATCTCAATTTCTGCCATGGGCCACTTGATGTCCACGACCCAGATGTTGTCTTTGGTTTTTGTTTTGTTTTTTCAAACTTCGCCTGTTTCGTGCGTTAAATGTTCTGAAAATACGGACTTCTGGTACTTTGTTCTTCGACTACTGACTACTGTACAACATGTGAGTTCACACTGATGTGTCTTTTCCTTCATACCTTGGATTCACTTTACAGCTGCCAAACTTTTTCTCGTGTTGGTAACACCTGCAGGAGCAGGAGCTTCCTGAAAACAAGGAAATTAAAGGGGAAGTTAGAAAATACAGGCAGAGAGCGAGGGTTCCTGCACATGAACACACCACCACACAGTACACTACACTGTAAACATGTCCACCCCTGCACATATTCATGGTGCTGTTTCTGTATATGTAATTCAGATACATGAAGTATTTAGTAACATATACATGATGTCAAATATTTAAATTATTTACTGCAATACTTTCAGGTGAGTGTACATGTAAGTTATAATATATAATTCACTTTGTCTTCATCTTATACAGCCTCCCTTTAAAACCAGTCAAGATATGAAAACGTGTAACGATAGCTAATAACTGACTACAACTGGTGAAATATCTCAAAAAATATCTTCAACACCTGAAAAGAAAAAAACAAGGTGTTTATCGTAGTTTGACGAGACTCTCCCGAAGTACAGAAATACATGTTAATGTAAAAATAGGTGATTTTATTCTATCTTGTATAACAGAGAAAACACCTGACATCATCAGTATGGTCTCTTACATGTAATAACTGGGTCAAACACATTTGATTGACGTTAAAATACGACTTGAGGAGCTGTAATTTCCGTTATTAATGTAATTCATGTGTTCCAGTAGAGAAGCATTCATTATCTCCCTTTACACTGTACCCAGGTCAGGTGAATCATCTTAACTTCACAGACAAATTAGACCAACAAATTGGTTAGAAATCACTCCACTGTAATTGGAGTCCATGTTATTACATTTTCAGCTGTTTTACCATGAGGCTCAATCTGACATTTCATGTTCAGAACTTTAACTGTCAGTAAATGCAACATATTCGTCCCTTGTAAGTTTAAACATAGGTCCCTGAACATTTAATTAAACAAACATACAAGAATCAGGAGGTCTTTAGGGTGTTATGATAAACTGGTCCTAGTGCTTGAGACAAAAAAAAAACAAACAGAAAAACAACAATGACAACAAAACTCTCCTCTGTGCTATCACAACGACAACAAAACTCTCCTCTGTGCTATCAAACCAGCATCACCAAATGTAACTCTAGCTTTTAGCTCCACAACATGTGACAAAAAGCCACTTTAGATAATAAGGAATGTTTTCACTGAGACCCTTCAGCTTCATGAATAATTTAGAGAGAGAAAGAGTCAAGTGTCACAAATATAGGATAATTAGAATTTCATCACTTCACTGGTACATGAATGTATTACACAACACTGTTGAAAGTGATGATGACATGCCTTTGGGAAAGAAGAGTAAAATGTATGTAATATGTAAAATCTAGAGTAAGTTTTGTAGAGAAAACTTTAACAAAATATAAAATTTAACTCATCTTTGTTTTTTTAATAATAGTTAATTAGACGTCAATTTCATGTTGAATGTCTGACTGAATATCAATATCTTGTTTCTGTAGTTATTTGAGTAGAAGAGTAATGTGATGTTAATTTTCTCTTTAAATATTGATCTTAATTATAACTGATTCTGTACAATTAATTTTCTCTACAGAATTTATCAGCAGAAAACCATGAGCAGCCACACTCACGACCGTTAAGTTGGATTCTGTACAATTATTTTTCTCTACAGTTTATCAGCAAAAAACCATAAGCAGCCACACTCACGACCGTTAAGTTGTGTTAAACTGCCATCTTGTGGCTTGTGCAGGTAGCATTGCGTTACTGATTAGTATCAGCCAAATACCTGCATTGCGTTACTGATTAGTATCAGCCAGAAAAATTATGAGCAGCAAACATTTTAATGTAATAAAAACAAATATTTTCCTTTCTACCTTGTACCAGAAAATTGTCCTGATTTCTGGAATTGCATCTGCTTTGCAAAAAACTATAGCTCAGCTATAATTAATTATAGTATACATATTTTTTATGCCACATTTTTGCCTGCTTATTGTTGGGCCAATATATGTATTTTGTCATTGTCCCTGATGCACAATTGGACAGGAAATGATTTATAGATACATTTTAGAGCATCAGTGTATTTGCTTTTGACTAAAAAACAGTTCTGTTGCATTCTGGGTCCTGCTGGCACATTTTCAACTGTTTAGTCTTTTCTTCCTCTCTCTATCCTGTTGTCACTCTGAATCCTCTTTAAGCTGGATTATGTGACGAAGATACTGGAGGAGAAAAAGAGGGAGAGAGACGGCGGCAGGAGAAGATCAGCGTTGTGTGTGAGAGAGAGCAGTTTGTCTAAAGAGAAATAGTGTGATACAACATTGGAAAGTCCTGGGCTAGAAATGAACCAGGAAGAAAATCAGAGATGGTTTGTCACACAGGTGAGTTTCATTCTAACTCTACAGGTGACTTTGATAAACATGCCAGTTGTACTGTAACTGCAACAAGTAATTTAAACCAGAGAGCATTTTCACACATGTATAATGTACTATGACTGTCGAGCCTCAAGTCTGAGCGTGTACTTTACTGTACTGTACACTGCAGTACGTGTGTTTCCAGAGTTACCTCGGGACACACCGTAATGTGATCATCGTCCTTTAATCTCACTTTCCTCAGTTCATATCTCATTAGCCATAATTAGATGTAAATGGAGAGGGGGTACAGGAAGGTGACTTTGTGCCTTCATGCATTTTATCATATAAAGAGAAAATAATTTGGTTTCACATGTGGCAGGAAGAAGAACCATCAGAGCACTGGAGACCAAGCATCGCTGTCACACAAACCAGACAGCAACAATGTCTCTCCTGGTCTCATCTGTCCAACCTGCCATGAGCGCCAGTACTTCCCTCTGCATCATCTTTATCATTGTTCTGCTTCCTGTTGCCAAAGCAGGCAGTCAGAACATTTCCACTCATCATGGTGGAGGCTCACAGTGTGGGGACTACATCAACCAGGTAAATGGACGGATTGTTTCAACTTAATTTAACTTTCCAATTATTAGACTTTTGATCTTATATTAAACCTTTATAACGTTGTAAAATTACAACCGAGTATCCTGCCTCCTGTTGGAGCTGGATGTGATTGCAACCCAACTGAAACAGCTACCTGGAAACTTGCAATACGGGCAACTTGAGAAAGTTAATGTTGTAACTCTTTTCAAACCAACACCATTATTATATTATTATATATTACACCATGTGAACCATATCATTTTTGGACACTGCTGTATGTCAAACAGGTACTAGAGAACGGAATGTGTCGCCTGGTGGCCACTCTGCCTCAGCAGGACCAGCACAGGTGTCCCGACATGTTCCGCTGCACAGATGAGGTTTCCTACTGGCTGCAAGAGAACGAGGAGCGTAAAGAGCAGATACTGGTGCTGACGGAGACCATCTCTGGACTGCAGCAGGAACTGAGGGACCACCGTCACCACATCAAGGCTCTTGAGCTGCAGGTGAAATCTCCAAGACCTGGATCAGCTCACAATCCTTTCAACTAATTTAGGTTCTGGGTCCAGTCCAGCTGTAGACTCAGGCGATGGAAACATTTGTCTATTAAATACAAACCGTCTTGCATTTCCATTGACCTGTGGAAACATTTTCCATGTGAAGGAAGTTTCTTACCTTCTACCATGTTATCTCAGCGTTATTGCGTTTGTTGTCTTTTGCATCTGTGGGTGTCCTCAGAGTGAGCAGAGAAATCACTGGAACATCTCCCTGGAGCAGCGTTTTCATCAGTTGGAGGTGCAGCACTCTGAGGCCTCCGCCCTGCTGCATCTTCAGGGCACTCTCATCCTGGAACTACAGGTAAAAATCCCCTTAAAGCTACAGTACGGGGCACTTGAGAAAGCACTTGGAGAAAAGACCCTAAAGGACGTTCATAGGTTTTTTTAAGTTTATTCCATGTCTGAAAACACAGCACATTAAATGATACTATCTCAACTGCACATTCCTACGTACAAACACGGCTTTAATTACGTAACGCAACTAAACGATATAAGCCTTATGAACTCGGTATATACTCTCCGAAACACATTTGGTATTATTTCCAATAAATATACACAAAATACACACGTGTGTATCCCTATCCTTTACCTTGAAACAGACACTGGCTCATCCGGTTAAGTGGCTAATTTACCCAGAAGACCCCAAAAGGTGCCCTCTAAATGCCTGTCCACATGTGCCCTAATCTCTGCATTAAGGAGACCTGATGTAATGCTGTTGTACATAAACAAATGTCAGGTGAGCAATAATTACCTTTTCGTGAGAAAAGAACCACACGGGCCCCACAAAAGGTAGGCACTTTAGGGTAATCTGAGATTATTATTATTTGTATTTCCATGATGCTGTTTGATACTCCGAAGTGAATCATTTAATTTCAGTGGTAAACATGTTCGTCTCACAAAGCCAGCCAATCAGGATCCACTACAGCATGTGTGCACAGTACTCATCTGTCTTGCATGCACGTAGTACCCTCATGTATTCTAAAATAATAGTTTTTCATATTTCATATTTTATTGTATTATACTACATTTAATTAACTTATGGGCGTCATAGATCTTGGGCATGCTGTGACAGTAAGATTATTTCCTTTCTCTTTAGAACCGAGTCCATAATCTGACAGTTTTGGTCAACAAGGTAAAAAGAAACCCTGGCTGTTCCATCAACATCCTGCGTCCCAATCCTCTCATGAGTGCGCATGAGGCTTTGCATCCAGGTACATTTCAAATAAACGTACACATCCGCTGTTCCGCCAGCAGGGGGTGCCTAATCCCACTTATACTACAAGTTTGATTATGTCCCTCCATCAGAGCTTCAACATGTGAGAAACTGTCCCATAGACTGTGCTTCCATCTACTTCAATGGTGTGAAAAGATCAGGACTGTACAGTGTGGCCCCTTCACTGGGAGGACCGTCTGTGGATGTTTACTGTGACATGGACACAGACGGTGAGTCATGCACACACCAGTTTGTATGTATACGAATAAAAGAAATAACTTTGTGACATTGAAGAGAAATTGTCTCTTTTTTGGCAGTTGTTGGCAGGTATTAGATTCCTAAATTTGTTAGTGTTTGAATAATAAATAATTAGCTTTTAATGCATATTAAAACATGTTTCTAAATACAAATTGTGATTAATCTGACACACTGGTGCAACATGTTTCTCAATACAAATTGTGATTAATCTGACACACTGGTGTGTAGCTGAATCATTCATCATCTCAGAGAAGTCATCAGACAGTAGCAGGTGTCCTCCTCTCACCATGTCTGGTCTTTGGCTCAGGTGGAGGCTGGACAGTGATTCAGCGTCGGGTGGACGGCTCAGTGAGCTTTGATCGCAGCTGGGAGGAATACAGACACGGGTTCGGTGACCTGCACTCAGAGTTTTGGTTGGGCAACGACCACATACATGAGCTGAGCTCTCAGGGAGACTACAGCCTCCGCATTGACCTGGAGGACTGGAGCAGCAAGCACATGCACGCCCTGTATCAGGGCTTCAGGTTAGTGTGTGATGTAAGAGACGGTTTCTGCACTATCAGGGATAACTGAGTAATTTTTATACTTTAATGAACAGGAATCTGTCAGTGCAAATTGCATTTTTTTTTTAAACTGGGAAAGACTGGGTCCTGACTCGTCGTGTGTGTGTGTGTGTGTGTAGTATAGAGGATGAGGATCATCAGTACCGCCTCCATGTGTCAGGCCACAGTGGTACAGCTCAGGACTCCTTCAGCTGGTACCACGACAAGCAAAGCTTCACTACACCAGACAGTGGGAACATCTGTGCTGAGATCTCCCACGGTGGATGGTGGTACAACCAGTGTTTCTACGCCAACCTGAATGGGGTCTACTACAGAGTAAGAGTACACAGGAATACTTTCCTTTTTTTAGATGTCAGGCTACTAGAGTTCTAACTTGATTCCATGATTCCACAGGGAGGACACTACACCCCTAAAGGCAGGGGGCCCCTGGGTCCTGATGGGATCGTCTGGCCTTCCTGGAAAGACTCAGACTATTATTCCCTACGAAAAGTCAGCATGATGATCCGACCACGGAGCTTCAGGAGACGACTGTCACCGTGACCTGATGGTCACAGTTGTGACTGTTCTGATGGAACAGTTAAAGTGAGTTTATCTACAGTATTACCTGTGGAGTCAGGCTCCTCTGTTCCATTGTATGTTACACACTTGGGTTTGTACTCATTTGAGACTTGCTATTCTAGCCAATTTTCATTTTAATAAAAAAATAGATGGATTACATCAATTGTAGTGATACAAAATTGTATTTAAATTACATGAAGACCTACTATATGTAAGAAAAGACCTTCCTTAAAAAAGTTTCTGTACAAGAATGCAGTTAAAAAAAAGGTATACCTCTGTATATGTTTGTTTTATACATTAAACACTAATAGTAATATAGTAATAGTAAAATAAGGATGACACTTGTACTTTAAAGTAAATTAATGCATATTCTTTTAGTATGAAGTAAATTAGTAAATTAAATTAATGCATATTCTTTTAGTATGAGTGAACATGTATAGCACATACTAAGGTACTCGGGAACTTGGGCATCTTGTTTTTAACTGTGTCAACACCCTAGGCATGTCATGCTATTGGTTGAATTTCTATGCTAAAACTAATATTTTTATAGTTTAGAAAGTAAAAAACACACACACACACACCCACACAACCTATTCAATGTATGTGCAGTTTGCCGAGCATGACTTCCTTGTTTGCTGACTATGTCGCTCACACGTCCAGCTGTACCTGGTAGTGCAAAATGGAGTAAAAGGGCTCTTTCACTTCCTCCACTGCCTGTGAGCACAAACACACTCTTTGACCCTTCACACAGGCCGACCACTCATTCTCATTCCTGTCCACGGACATGCAAGAATCTGCTGGTGTGAATGAAAGCTTTACTGTGAGACAGTGGCAGAGTTTGTGTCTCACATTAAACAATCACACACACACACACACACACAGTAGAAGCTAAGGTCTCAATGAGTACAAATCATTGTTTAATAAATCAAAAAAACAATTATTGCTCCTCTCCGAGTTGCACTGTATTGAAAATACTTCTATACATAAAATAGTATCTCAGTGACAAGAAGCACTTTATAGGTCTGATACAATATTATGTGTCTTGTATATATATTATATAATAGGAAAACAAAACCATAAGTGAGCTGAGATTAGCGAGTGACTGAAAGCCGGGCAGTGAAAATACACGAGAAAATAATCCATGACAGGAAGAATATTCTTCAGAGAAGGGCGTGTCTGACATTTGGCTTAAATGTACAATGCAAAAAATAATGAAGCCGTCATTGAAATCCACATGTCGTCTTCTGTGCTGACATGTAAACGGCAGAGTGGCTGTGCACAGGCCAGGGAAGGAAAGAGAGGGGGGTTGAAGTTACTTCACAAGCTCTTTTGTCATCTTCATCTAGGGTTTAAGGCACATAGGAGAGACGGGAAGGAGGTGGAGCTTCCTGTTAGCTTTTGGGGAAGTGCAGGATGAAGAAGACTTGGTTTTGCAGGCACTCCACACAACAACACACACAGCCACATATCTCTTACAGTTAATTCTATTGCTATTTCTCGTGATGATAGAAAAGCCATGGGCCAACTCGCATATATTGAAAAAAGTTCTGCTCTGATCACATGAGCTTACGTTTAAAAATCCTCCCCAGAGGCAGAAGAGAGAACTGCTTTGGTTTTTAGTGCATAAATGCAGATAATAATTTGCTAAAAGATTAACATTTATTTTATTCTAACATGAAACAAAGATGCAAAAAACGTATATTTAGCAACAATTAGCGTTAAAAAAAAAAGCTAAATTACATCATAGTTAGAGTCATAATGAGAAAATCTCCAAATGATAACTGGAACTCAAATGTCCTTCTCTTACAAACTGGACAGACCATGTACAGAGGACAGGATGTGTGTAAACAGTGTATGTTTTTCTGCTCTCTATGCCAACTCACTTTCTCACACACACACAAACATTAACAAACATACCAGTGCCAAAGTCTTTTCTGGCTGCACATGCTCAAAAACATTTTTTGGAACTCCTCACCGTAGTGGACAAATGTAACTGTCATAAGCCGTGTCTGTAAAGACAAGTGAGGTAAAAGCCAAGCAAAGACTGAAGTGACATTTAAATTAGAGGGAGGAGATAATCACGGAACTGTGAGCCAATATGTTTGATGAAGGATGAGCTTTTTTTTGTAGTGCGACATCTTTTCACATGGTCGTGAACTGACTGTGGGCCTGCCTCAGCTTTGCAGCAATCTGGGAATTGAAATGTAGAAAGAAAAGAGAAAAAAAAAACAACATGAATACAAACTTAAAAGGCAGTGGAGAGGCTCCAGTGGGCAGACATTGTGTAGCCTTCCAAGGTGACAAAGCGACCAATAAGAAAAGCGTAAATCGGTGTAAATTCTAATTGCCTAAGATAAATGGTCAATAAAGAAGCCTTTACCGTCTCGTAAAACTTTGCTTGTTCCTCCAGGTACAACTGCATGACCCTGTTGTAGTCATAGATACGGTTGCTGTGGAAATGGTTCATCTCCGCTGATGCAGAAAAACAACAGGAGGAAGCAGAGTGATCAGAGAACACTTCAGGATAAAGAGGCTGCATCAGTGCAGTGGCTCTGGCTCACAGAGTCCAGTACCTTGTAAAGAGTAAGACATGGTGCTGACTCGTTTGGCCATGGTCACCTTCTCCTGCGGGGTGATTTTACTGGTGGCCACCAGCTTGTCACCCTCCTTCACTTTGTCTATGGCTGCCTACAAAACACACAGAACACAGGAGACAATCAATATTTGAGTACCTCAGATCATTTACATAAATATTTTTTTGTATTTGTTTGTAAAAGATATTTTCACTGTATATTTACTAGCTTTTGGCATTGTTTTGGTCTAATGTCAATTACATTGCTCAGTATTTCTACCACCATGGTTTCAAGGGACCCCCCTCCCCCATCCCAAAAAAAAGGGAATTGTGTAGAGGACACCTTCTCCTCATTACTATGCAGCTGTAATAAACAGTTATGCGATGTGATGAACGCAGGGCTGGACCGTGGTTGTAACTTTTCTCTTAAATACCTTGTGGACTCCAATGGTGTCTGGAAAGCAGCCAAGAAGACCTTTATACTCGTTGTTAGTCTCCATCAGGCTGTGAAGATCCTTCTTTGGCTGTAAAAGGTAATAAACACAAGGCAGAAAATGAATCTGAAGGTGAGAGAGGAAGTAAATGTTATGAATCATAATCATGGAAATATATTTGGTTAGTGGCGACTGACATTTAGGCAGGTGTCTGGCTGAAACCAAAAAAATTCCCAGAAACATTTTACTTTTTGTCGTGTTGGTGTATGTAGATTTTTCTCAATTCATCTTGATTTATTCACACAAATTCTCAATTCATCTTGATTTATTCACACCCACCCTGTGATTAATCAGAATATATGTTTTAATTGTTTGACAACCATACTTTCGTTGGCTACGGTGTTCAAAATAGCTTTACTTCTCAAAAAAAGAAGGAATTGATTTAACAACTATGATAAGGCTGGAAACAAGGTTCAGAGTTCAAGAGCTACATTTGTTATGTCTTCTCCTGTGACCTTCATGGACCTTTATGATCATGACATTGAAGTGAAGGACAACAACAATGTGGTTGATAAAAATGCCTTAAATAAATCCCAGGATGTCTTGAGACCCTGGATGTCAGACAGTTCTTATCCAGAGACAGGAAGCTACTACAGCAAATCAGAAACAGGATGTTTGCTGTAGCCGACCTTTAAAATAAATGTCTGTTTCAATGTGATTCATGCATGAGATGAAAGATGTGATATTTATAAGGAATAATTTTAGGGAAATGTAAATGAACGTTTTATTCAGCAGCTACGTCACAGTCCAAACTTACCTGCTCTGCAACCAACTGTGCAATCTCCTCGTACGTCTTCCCCGCTGCGGTCATGGCATCCGTCAGCGTGGACTCACCTAAGAGATTAAATCATGTCACAAGGCTGTTTCTAAAGACACCCTATTTGTCTAATACATTTAAAACACATTTCCACATCACAGATCATGAGGAGGGAACCAAACCTGCTGTTGCATTGTGGTTATAACATGCATTGACTGCAGCAACGGTAAGAAAAAGTACAAAAGGAACTGTACAGTACAGTATGTGAAATAACACCTCAGCTTAAATAACATTTAATTGTTACCTTGGTATCCACTGCTGGTGAAGACAGAGGAGAGGTTTTGAAAAGCTTTTCCAATTCTCTGGTACTCTTTGGGTAAAGCTGCAGAAATACAGAAATTAGAGTGTGAAGTGTGAATGGAGTTGACATAACACTGAAGCTAACAACAGCTTCTTTAATGTAAACAATGATTACTCCAGAAAGGGTTGTTGTGGTCTGTGTGGGGTTCGGTTTTACATACGTCCTGTGCATCTCTTCCAGTGCTCATGTCCCACTGTCAGGATTTCCTTCACGCCGTCGTCCATGGCTTTAGTGAAACGACTGAACTGCTCACATTTCTGCTCCCTGTAAATAAACAGCATGCAGAACGTGAACCAAGCAGACATTAAGGCACACATGCGCGCCCACACAAAAGTTTTTACTCACACTTCAATAACATCCATATCCGGAGCTTCAGGCTCTATCGTGGAGAATATCATCACTCCAACAGTCTCGTCTTTTTCTGCTTTTCTCTTCCCCATTTTCCAGTCCTGGAAGAAATTGCTTATTTTAATTTGTAAAACAAATACAAAAAAAAATAAAACCTCCAGTTTTTACTGATATTTTTATACCTTTACCCAGATTATAAAAATGAGCTAAGTTACCAAGTAAAAGTATTGCTGATACCTTCTCGTCCTTATATGTGAGGAAAAGCTGGAAAACTTCACTGTTGGAAATAACGGGGTGCCTGCACATCCTGGTCATCCAGCCCTGCAACCGCTCCATCCGCATTTTAATAAACTCCTCCTCAAAACGACCTGAAGAGACAGTGAAGACAGATGATCAGCAACATCAGAGTTTACAAACGTCCATCTTTTATTTACAGTCAGCTACGACTAACTTACCTGTCACCTGTTTGTCTGGTAATGAAGGGATGGGGATGGCTGACCCATACTTGTCAAGGAGCCGCTCGTACAGCCAATCAAAGTGCTTGTATCTGTGATTGACTGGTCTGTTTGTGGTCTGTTAGATGTTACAAACACATTATCTTGAAATTACTACTTTGAAAGACAACAGGAATGCAGTAGAAAGGCCTGGCCTAAATACATGTCGTGTTTTATTAAACTTTCGTTACTTACATTTGGTGTGATTTGGTACTCGATGTAGCTCTTGAGGCCATACATCTTAGAGCCTTTCTTGGGATCTGCCACCACACAGTCGAGCTGGGTTTCTGGGTAAAACCAGACTGCTCCCACCTCCCCCATCTAGGAGTGAAAACATTGCAATGAGAAAAAGGGAAACAAAAGAGAATGCAGTCTATGACTGTTAAAAACACACATTTGAGATGAGTAAAAATGTTTTATTCCATTTTTGTCTGCTCATATCTATTCATGTGTGTCAAGTCACTTACAAAAGGGTTCAGAGATAACTTACATAAACTGGTAACCTGTCCTTGCTCTTAGTGAGCTGTTTACACAGGAGGTAAAGCTCCGGGCCAGACTTGGAGAAACCAGGAAACCTGTTCAGACAGAGGAGACAACAGAGAAGTAGCTGTTATTGATTCTCGTCTTTAGGAGAGCAGTGGAGAGAGTATTGATGCTGCCCAGTGAACAGACTCTCTGAACGTCACAGTTATTGGATTTCTACCACAATGAAAGATAGACACATTTAAACTACGGCCCTGAGTGGAAGGCCTTTTAAAAAAGTACATTTCAATGCATCTTCAAAGAGAATGGAAGATGCATGGATTTGTCAGTACTGAGGTTTTATAATGGAGATCAACAGTAATGAGAGCAGGAAAACGCTCAGTACAGTATTTAATATTTGCTTTTAGGACTAGAATTGCCTGTGGTGAATATTTATATAAAAAAAAAATTTAAACAGCCCTAATTTGCTGCTTATTAAAAAAACAAACAACTTGCTTGTTGAGGGAGATTTTCATTGATGTAGCGTGGGCTCCACCTCTCTGCATCGCCCCGCTGTCACCTGCTTCTGAGTCAGCATAACCTGCGTTGGACTTCACGTCGTCCCACTCGTCGTCCCACTCGTCATCTTCTGCTCCTGAGGTCACAAGTACAAACAGTATAAACATAGATAGATAGATAGATATACTTTATTGATCGTAGACTGGGAAATTACAGAGCACAGTTTGTTTTATAGTACCGTACGTACTGTGGGTACACAGGCTATTTCTATTCTTTATCAACATGACTCCAAACTGGAGTTCTCCTTCATTTTGATACTTAATTGTGTGAGGATTTCAGAATTAAAGCAGTTCTGAAACAGTTCTAACTCTCCATGACACACACACCATGCATTCTTGTGTATGAAACACTTGTACAGCACAGAAACCGGTCTGTGTTCTGACACAGAACCCACTTCAATCATTGACGTTCTTATCGGTTTTGTTTGTTCATGCAGACACGCTAAAATACTCTGCGGTAAAAGACCGCAGATAACCAGTTAGTGTGATTTCATTTATCAGTTAAACAGGTGAGCATATTCCCATTAAAGCACCAGTAAATATAATTTTTCATTACATTTTGAATGACTAAAATTCAACGTAAATTAATTTTAACACACTGCACCTTTGTCCAAGATATTTCCATGTGTTCATTTTGTGCTTTTCGACTCTACAAAGCCACGTGGATTACATGAACAACATCACTCTGTGAAATTCTCTAAATTTCAAAGCTGAAACACAACCGACTATTTGTTCAACATAAAACAAAGTTAATATTGTGTTAATATCCAGATGCCACCGCATTAAAAAAGGCACATGCGTAAATGAGTTAGTGCCGGTCTTCAATGATGTTCTACTGGATGAGCATCTCACACACATACACACACAAAAACGAAGGCATGGACCAGGGATATCATCGAATACCTGTGTAATCAATAAGGTAAGGATAGGGGTAGATGTCTTTGACTAGAGAGAGTCAGAGAGAGAGACAGAGAGAGACAGAGAGAGAGAGACAGAGATTTATTAATGCTCTCTCTTCTTCATTTCTCCATATTTTCACCAAGACAGGAGGGGAAAAAATGCAAGTCAAGTAATTTATCCGTCTGAGTCAAGCGTGAGACAAAAGTTTCCACAGACTGCCACAAACAGAACCAGGACTTTGTGGTTGTGCCAGTTATTTGCTTAATCCGAGCTTTTTGTTTGTTTTCCTCAACTTTATTCTCTATTACTATCACAGCAGGATAAAGGTTGTTACACCCTGTTATTGAGTTAAAACATCATTTATTTTCCTATCGCTGGTCTATGATGCAAACCCCACTTGACCTACATTTCATGAAACAGGGGTTATATAATCCAACTGCTGAACACAAGATGTTCTTTTTCAATAATAATATGTGGAAACAGTGAGAAGAGAAAAAACGATTGAGCTCATGTAACCTTTTTTTTTTTTGCAAAACTTTTTAACAGCTGTGTTGTGTGTTTTTACTCTGTGGAATGCAGCAACATCTGTCGCACTTAAAACGAGCAGCACAACAGAAACCTTATGTCTGATTGAGCAACTTTGTTGCTGCATTGTCGTATGATCCACTTGTTAATCACTGTTTCTGGTTATATCTGTAGTAGGCAGAAGGACAACATCTGGGAAACCGTCCTCCTGCAACACCTTCTATTTTGGTGCCACTTACATATTGATTAGTAAACAATAATTTTTCAGTTAATCCAGATAAGATTTTCTCAGCTTAGAGTGAAATAGTTTCTGGTCACAATAAAACTTTACAACGTTATCCCTGAAGTGCAATAATATTTGAATCCTTTGAACTGGAGCGATTCTGTGAAAATGTCCGACAGAAGAAACACAGACTGGAAAAATATACAGACCGCAAATGCAATAAATAACAAGTCAGAAGAGGAAATTCAGTGAATAAATAAGTAATTCATCATGACTGCTGTTCTTACCTGGGCCCTGGTAGGCCTGAGGGTGACCCTGTGACACAGAGGCCCAGGGGTCAGAGGCTGTTCTCCCAGTCTGGGTGCCCTCTGGATTGGAGGCCCAGTTGTTGTTGGAGCCGCCCGAGGGGTCTGTGTTCCACGCCGACCACGGGTCATTACCATTGCTAGCCTGGAAGAGAAAGAACAAAACTTTGGTGGTAATCTAGGCCGGGAAGAAGCAGACAGAGAGGAGATCCTGTACGGAGACGGATGACGAGAGGGAGGCGGAGGGAGAGGGAGAGAGCGATCACGGAAAGTAGCTCGACCTTGTTTGGAGTCTGTTTATCAGGACAACAACATGCTGCTTCAAAATATTTAAAGTGGACTGGTAAATGATCACCACTTTATTGTTGACAGAGTGATTTGTTGCTCCTTAATCACTCATGCTGTTACTACAAATTTCACAAATTGAAGAAAAATACCTTGAGGTCATTTCTAATATTTAATGCAACTTCTTGCCATTACTTGAGAACAGACCCATTTACAGTACAATTAGCTTTCATGTGCATGCAAATGCACCAGAGTACATTTCTGCTCTTATGCATTGCAGTTAGCTGTGTGCTAAAAATGACTGTGATTTAATGCAGGGTCATAAATTGGTAATGCTGTGCACATCCACACTGTAGACCAAGTTGATACAGGGACAATGAAAAGCATTAGTGCTACTGAGGAACAACACTCCAACGGTATGTACTGGATTCTGCAGCTCATTGAAGGACAAGTCTGTCCATTTAAAACAATGCTATCAAACTGTAGTGAAAATGGACAGATCCGTATTAAATCCGTAATTCTGACCATTGGCTAAAAGAAAATGTGCAAGTTGTGACTGTATGTTTTAGAGTGATTAGTCAATCAAGAGTGACTGTGACTGTGTAATTTTGGTAATTCACTTGAGAGTTTTTACTGAACTTTGTCTGACAAACACAACTACATTAAATCATGAAAACAATGAATTCTTATTTACAAGGCCTGATAAAAAAAAAGTGCATTACCAAGAAAGTACAGATCTCAGTTTCTATTGCATTTCATTAACTTCAGCAAATGTGTTAATTAATGAGGCTTGTAAAAACGTTGTGCTAATTGTGACCATTTACATGAAGCGTGTTGAAGCTGATTGGTGACCTGAGTGTGAGACGAGTACATGCTTTTCTCAGGTTGTGAGTGGAGACGGACGGGATTTGTCCAAACGGACCAAACAGAAGATGTGGGTAAGTGGGTGGGTGTGGGTGGAATTTAGTCATGCCATGCCCAACACCTCCCGGTGACGGTTACCTCATTAGTGGATGAAAGATAGGGAATAACTGGGGTTTCTGGGGTATCAGGCAGGGGATTTAAGCCCCCAGTGTCCACCTTCAGAGGAAAAATGTGACAACATCACGCAGTGGCCAAGAACGATGGGTTAGGGTGATGAGAGAGAGAGAGACAGAGAGAGGGGGAGAGGGAAGGAGAAAAATAAGAGCAAAAAAGGAAGAGATGGAGTTGATGAGGTGACAGCTGACACATATCCTGCTTTGACTCAATCTCTTACGATGCAAATTCTCACTGTTCCAGCGGTACACTCACTTCAGTGGAACTTCCTGACTGCTGACAATAAAAGAAAACACAGGCGTTTTATGCTGCTTATCCTATTTTAGAGGAGTTAGAAAGTCTGCCTCGGTTTGACGTGACCACATCTAATCTTCAACAGCAGCTGCTCTCACTTCTGCATCTGCAGGTTCACACCAGATGCTGAGACGTCAGTACAAGTATCAGCAAAGACTTCTGCTTTTTCTTCTTCAGCCACACTTTTAACATTCACTACTCAGTCACAGAACATGGGAGGTGTCACGTTGCTCCTGTCATGATGATAAAAAAAAAAAATCTATCCGAGTAGGTATGAGTGTACTGTACCTGATTTTGAGCAGGGGTTGATGCTGGAGCATAAGCATCGAAGAACGCAAGGTCTTGAGATGCAACATTTCCAACACTCGGAGTAGGTGCTGTGGTCGCTGCCGGTGGGAATGATGATGCCGACTTACTGAACTAGGAAGAGAAAAAGACAAAAGCAGTATTCCACTTTGATCTAATTAGTAGTAGTTAAAGGTACATTCCTCTCTACTTATGTGATTGAGTCTCCTTGGATTCTCCTGTGTTTTTAAACTGGTTTTCCGTTTAGTGTCAGTGACACTTTAATTCATAGATTTGAATGTACTAGGAAAGTACCACACTTTATTTTGGTTGCTACTTTTTTTTCTGTATCCTTTTGCCTTGGCAGACAGCATTTTTTTCCCATGTGGAATAATCTGCAAGTGAATTTGTCATTAGTGGTTTCCTTCCAGCTGGACACAGAATGAAAACAACCGTAGGGCAGCTGGAGAGGTAACACAAGTTCAATAAAAGCCCTGTCCATGTGACCTTGTTTACAGACTAACAAAGTCAAAATATCCCCTTTATTTCTCTTTGTCTCGTACACACCCTACACTAAAACATCAAATGCTCCTCTGAGTAAACTGACTTATGGTCAAGCTCTTTCTTTGTCTCCCTGTGTGAATATCTCTGCAGTGAATCATATCATCAGGATGAAGTAATGACATTTGGACAAACTGGACACAAAGACCTTAATCAGCAAAACCCTATAGGCAGCACATCCTGTTGTGGTTGTACTTTCAGTATCTATGTTTGTGCACTGATAGGGAAAGTGCAGCTTATATGACACTTGTGCTGTAAACGTTTGTCACATCACAAAGGTTTTTATTCTTTCTTTATGCAAAAATTTTAGGTATCTATGTCTTTTAGTCCTACCTCAATGTAGTCCTCTGGTACAAGTCCCACCTCCCCTCTGGAGTTCTGTGCTTCGATCCAGCCTCCGCCAATATTCTGAGACAGAAATACACACACTGGCATGAATGACTGAGACTAACAGAGTCTTATCTCAAATGAGAGTCTGAAGAAGTGATCTTTTTACTGATAATTTTACTGATTTCAAAGGAAAATACAGTCAAGAATTAATTAATACTGTCGTTAATACTGTTGTTTCAATTAGGTTTCTATTTTACATGTTGTTAAGTAACTCAGCAATAATCTGACCTAACCAGATGAGCAAGGAATCCAAAAAGACCTGCGCATTAATAGAATTATTCCCACTCTATTTATTTAGTGTAAAAAAAACATTCTGTTTCCTGAAGCATTGGTCCTGAGAGGAATAATGACACAGTGCCTGATTAGAACACAATGTAGGTCAACACGCACACATACACAGACACAAAAACAAACACACAGAGAGAGAGAGAGTGACCTTTGAACTGTTAGCAGCTACCTGTAATGACATCAGGGTGACTCCACTCCTATTCCCCCACCCCCATTTCTTGTTGCTCTTTTGTATGGTTTAGTAACCCTCTGTGTTTACAGACAACCTGAGGCCATGCAACATGGACACTTTCAAGTTTACCCTCTTTTACTAACAAAGAGAAGAAAAGTTAGGAAGAAAGGAAGACAGGTTACGAAACACAACACATGTAGAGTTAAATAACTGGTAAAATAACTGGTGTTTGAAGGTGTTTGAAGGGGAAAAAAAAGAGAAAAACAAGAGAATTAACCTGATTCTTGTTACTAATAAAAATGGATCTAAATGCAACAACAAGAACTAACAACATGAGACATTATAGACGATTTCCTCACACCAGCCCTGTGTGTCGTCTCATTACAGTGACTGAAGAGAGGTCAGAAGAAATGGAGCAGAGATTTACCTTGTTGGTGACAGTGATCGTCTCTCCTTCTCTTACTGTCAGCTCATTATTTCCAGGTTCAGCGGTGAAATCATATAAAACCTGTGCCTGAACACAGACAGGTGTGTTGAAAGAAACTTTTATGGACTACACGTATCAATCCACTGTTGTACATGTATGTGAACAGACAGACCTAAACGTCCAATAACCCTGAGGGGTTTACACATGTGAAATATGATGTGAAATATAAACAGTCAAACAAGAACAACCAGCTCTTCTGGGCTGCTGTTGCAGACTCTGTGAAGTGAAGTGAACACCAGTATCAACCAAAAACAATGGCACATCACTCATGTCACCTAAATCACATTATTAGAGAAACTCCAACTACTCATCCAGTGTTTGACAGTGGATTTAAGGTGCAAATCCACATACATTTAAATGTACACGTCAAAGATGTACTGTTGTTTTCCTAAATATTTAACTCTCTCTATTTGATGAGTGGCGTTGACCAGACAACATCACATCCACAGTCCAGTGATTATTCAAATTTAAATGAGATTAGCAACTGAGACAAAACAGAGAAAAATTGTAACTCTTTTTTTAATCCCTATTTCGTTCCATCTGGTTTACTATTTTCAATCAATTTACTGTTTAATAAGAAACCTATTTAATTTGTTGAACAAGTTTAAAAACAGGGTTTCACAATCATAACTTATACTTACACAGTACCTGTGACAATCTACCTTTGTTTATTGACTAGTGGTATAACAGTTGGGAGTCAGCTGACCTGCAACTCCCACAACTCAAGGATTTTCAAACAGGAACAACATGAGGGAAAATACCTCAATCCTGAATGTTGCTGTCTCACAGTTGGACAAGACACAGTTAATGTAATAAGGGAATAAAATAGAAAATTATTTTTCCCTTTTTAATCCCTCACACATAGCAGTGTACACTAGTTACTCTGATTTCAAAATAATCATATCACTTATTTTATCATTTGTTTTTAGGCAATCAATTACATTTCAACATTTGAAATAATGCAGTAAAATGCGAAGATTTATGACTGAGACTGCAGGATGTTAGGTTATTGCTAATAAAAAAACTTTCTGTATAATATTTACCTACTTCACCTTAACAAGATGTATTACATATATATTTAAAGCAACAATCTTATTAAAATTGCCAGGAAAATAGCTGACATCAACAGCAACAGCAATGAACTGCATTTCCCAGAATTCTTTGGGAAGAAGAAATGACCCGCAGCGCTAAGGTAGTAAAATGTCACAAGACACTTTCTTAATGAGACACATTTTCCATACACTACACAAAATAACGACGCCTACTCTTTTCACTTACTTATGCATAAAAGTCATGGTCACAGATCGTTACCCATTTCGGAGGCAGATTCCGGAAATGTGTGTGTGTTTTTCCCCACTCTTCGTGTTTCTTATCTACACAAGTGTTCCACTGTTAAACTAAACCCACAGACAGCTGCTCTACAAGTTTAGAAGTTTTGCTAGAAACGCGTAAAACAACACAATAATAATAAATGAACTAAGTACGACAGGCCAGGGGGACGTTAGAGGAGGTTAGAAAAGTTGTCAAACGTACCTTTAGCGCCATTGTGGAAGCATTGATCAATCATTAGAAAAACAGGCCCTGTGGTTTGTCTGGGATCTTCGGTCCTCAGCAGGACATTTCAACCGCCGAGCTGCTGTCAAACTAAAATGAAGGAACACACGACGCGTGCCCCCGTAGCGACACAGAACCGAAGCACAATTTTTTAAAAACCGCTGTGGCTGTCGGTTTAAAAACGCCAGAAAACACTGGTGAAAAAAACGTTGTGAGGAGAACGGTCTGTGAGAGCGAGTGTAAATTTGAAGCTGGGCTGACAGAGCGGAGGAGGGAGTGACCAGGCGCAAACCGGAAAGATAGCTTTTACATCCAAAACGGCAAGAAACTGCTGAGAAATGCTGCACATAATTCCGTAAAAATAAAAGTTTATGAACTCTCTTAAGATGTCACATACCCTTAAAATTCACAACAATGAACCTCAAAACTGTACATTTTAACCATACACAACAAATACAATAAACTGTACAGTCATCGCATGTTGTAAGGACCATTAATTTAAATATTTCAAATTATATAGTATAGTTTTCGTTCGGTATATCTTGAGGAAACACAACAGTATAATAAAATAAATACTGTAAAATTTAATTAAAAATGTAATGTATTATACTTTTTTAAAATGTATAATAATTTTATTGATATTCTACTAACTATATTACATTCAAATAAACTGGCAAACCATACAGTTACAAAATAGTTTAAAAACGAACAAAAAAATAAATAATTACAAAAAATAAGACCGCTTATATAATGCTTTAATAATAAAATCAGTATACAGTGTATGTTATTTTACAAACCTGTCCGTATTTTATATTTTTTTCCAAACCAATAAATATAAAGTTTCGGAGTGTTTACAAGACTGATTGACTGACTCACTGTTTGAGTGTCTGACAGAGCTGACGCCACTGCTCTCAGGGAGGGAACCTCAACTGCGTTTTCAAATGCTGAGGTCGTCCTCTGTTGGTAGCAGGTTACTACTACAGCTTTCAACCCATTAAAAGGAGGCTGAAGTTTTGATTCCTGGAGAAACCCTGCAGAGAAATGTCTGGTGTACTCTTTTTGTTAGTTTCAAATCTAAAAATGTTTAAAAAAATTCACATAGTCTATATGATTTATTTTGTTAACTCTAAGATCATAATACCCTGCAATCATTTTGATTAGTAAGACGATTGGTGTCTAGTAATATAACGCTACAGATGGTAGTGTTTTTGGTGTAATTAAAAATAATACAAGCAACATTTAAATCTGTAATCCAATAACTTGTATACACTTTAATGTGCACAAGGCAATGTTTTATTATGGCAGTTTTGCTTCTATTGACATTTATAAAATATTTAAACTGTATATTTTACTATATCTACAGTATAATGCATCCCTCACCTCGCCAACACAGCTGCCATGAGGATCAAATCTCTTGCCCTGGGCCACACTGGCATCAGATGCATGTCTGGAAATTAAATCCCATTCATGTCATTCCAGATGGAAAATGACTCACCTTCCTATTTCTTTACAGCTACCCCTGGATGTCAATAAAAAAAACTTGATTTTACAAAAGATCCTTTTTTGTCTCAGTATGTTCTCAAAAGCAATTCAGACAAAGTTGCTTAGTGTCGACATACAGTAGATACTAATCTGATGAGTACTGTATGCACAAACTCTGAGGATATTAGACTCACTTTGGCTTCACCTCCCCCTGTGATGTGATTTTTGTAGTACTTAAATACTTTAATTATACTATACAGTATACTGCAACAATTCTTCCTAACTTTTTCTACTGTATTGTAAAGCCACACCCAAAAGTCACTTCAAAACACCAATGAAGTTGACTAAAAACACTATCCTCAAGCATTATTCATTGAACAAATTATATAAAATTTCAAACAGTGCATTTTCACTGAAAAAATAGTTAATAAATTAAATTAATTTCCTCTGCGGCACCCTCTCCCATAATGGCTCCACACCCCTCACTTTGACCCACTGGGCCAAACATTAGACACAATGAACCGCAGTGGTTTTAGTCTCATGTATCTTTTATGTCTAAATATACCAGGTAAACAGGTTGATATTACTTAGGGAGGAGTTTTAAAAGTATTCAATATTTTAAGTGATGACTAAACCAGACTAAACCAAAAAAAAAATTCAAAAAAACATCACAAAGGTACAAATGTAGAGAACACAGCACATTGGTGTATAAGATCCATTGTCTGACAGAATCCAACAGTTGAGTGAGAAAAACATCACAAAGGTACAAATGTCTGACAGAATCCAACAGTTGAGTGACTGTGCATTTTTTGGCCAGTATCGCCTGAGAATCTTGGAGTGCAGGTGTGTCCTACTGTGGGAGGGTGGGAGTGCATTTGGCAGCTCTACAGTCACGGTGCTCAGTGTGAAGATTTCAGCCTCACAGAGACATCATGCTCTCTCTGCTTCACTTCTTCTGCCTTTTTCTACTCTGGGGCACAGGAGTGGGGACCCCCGACACCTCTTTACCCTATATGGTGTACCTGGACGGGAACCAGATGGTTTGCCTTCATTGGGGCTTTGATGACTTACAAGGGGACATTGAATTCCAACTTACTGTCAACACAACAGGTTGGGTTGGCTTTGGTTTGAGTCCCAATGGAAATATGATTGCGGCAGATATTGTCATTGGGGGAATGGGACCCAGTGAACCCTACTTTACAGTAAGTGGCTTTAGGCTTTTCCTTTCTCTTCTAAACTTCTGCGGTCTTCTTGACCTCCACCATGTCCGTCAATTGCTTTAGCATCATCTACTGCTTTGCAGCTACATTTGTACCATTCTGTTTAATATCTCTCCTTGGTCCGTGTCTAAAACCTTTTCATTGTTGCCTCTCTAACCTACTGCTCAATGTCACTTATCGTTAACAGTCAAGACTGTCAAATAACAAGGTTTCCTCCTGTTGAATTATTTTGGATTTGTTTGAAAGGACCGTCATGGTAAAGGAAAGTTCATGCCACTGGTGGATGATAAGCAGAGTTACACACTCCTGTCCATGGATGAAAAAAACGGTCAAACTATCATGAGATTTCAGAGGCCCATTGATACATGTGACGATCAAGACTTTCTCATCAAGGTGAGACATTTTAATCTTTTTCTCCAACCAAATCTTACACATTGGCTAAAAAAGCTCATAATGAATCATTTTGATTAAAAAAATGTGTTCTGAAATTGAGATTTCTTTCAAGGTTATGTAATTGATATTTTGTTAAGATTCCACATAAAGATATGAAATTTATTGTACGTAAAAAGTCAGAGTAAAATGATAAAATCATGGTTGAGTCATTGTTTTAGAGAGTACAGGATTTGGAAGATAGCCTCCTCTTTCTGGAATTATTTTTGGCCTCTGTGGTTTACAACAGTAGGCAAATACATACCTTGTTCTTTGTTGGGTTGGTCCATGACTATTTTGACTCATGTATTGTAATCCTATCGCCTTTTGTATGGTTGTCCTACTTCTTTATGTAAAGTTCAGATTTCGTGATTGGAAACTCTGAGCCCCACCTAGCGTGACTCCATTGTTGGTTTTACCTAAAGGTGATTTTCCCTGGACTTAAACTGGGTTGTTTCTCGAAAGAATACAATGGCCACAGTCAGGCCCGCAGGAGATACACTATCCCTCGTTATCATCTGAAATACTATATGGTTTGAGTAATCAACCCTATTTATGTTGACATTTCCACCTCACACAAAGAGCAAAGATGGGGCAATTATCTGGGATGTTGACTTGGATCTTCTAAGTAACTGGCTGCGAAACTTGAATAAAGTCTCGATTTTTCTATATTGTATAGTATTGACTCACTGTGGTTTCATTGTTATTATACAAAGCTGCCGTCTCTCAACAGGATGAACCTATTAAGCTGATTTATGCCTACGGAATAACAGATACGATCGAATATCACAAAACCCGCAGAGGCACTAAAGAGGTCAACCTGCTAAATTACATGCCTAAAACCTTTCCACCAAACTCCAAGTACCTCATGGCCACAATGGACAAAGTAAGAATAACCAGGATTTTTTTTCTTCTTTCAAGATTTTCCAAAATCTCCATGATTTATCATAAAGATTAATTATTTATCTGTTCCCTTTGTCTTTTTGCAGATTACAATCCCCTCAGTTCACACGTATTACCACTGCAAGGTCATGAAGTTCTCAAAGCCTAGCAGGAAACAACATATTTACCGGGTAATTATCCTCATGAACAGTTATGACACGTAATAAAGTGTTAACAATGCACTGTATCTGCTCATTGGTCTCTCCTGCTTCAACTCAGATTGAACCAGTGATTGAACACATAGACATGGTTCACCACCTGCTTCTGTACAACTGCCCCTCCTTTGTCAACACAACCTATGACAACATGTGCTACGTGGGGGACCAAGGAGACACTTGCTTTGGGGTAGTGGGTGGATGGGCAGTAGGTGGAGGGGTAAGAAAAAGTCAGGTGTTCATGTTCAGTTTAACTCTTTTCAAATTTTAATCTTTTGCTTTATCTGGGCATCACTGGTGATATTGTGCAAGTTGAACTCTCATTTATCTCCGACTCCTTTAGCCCTTCGAGCTTCCTGAAGATGCAGGCATTCCATTTGGAGATGATGACAGAGACATATACTTTAAACTGGAAATCCATTACAATAACCCACACCTTGAGACAGGTGTGTACTTTTAAAGTACTTTTCTGGGAATACCAATAATTATTTAATTGTTCCACACCTGTTTTTCACACTTCACAAATCATGTCACTTTTTTTCAGGGACTCAACAACTAATTGTTTTCTTGTTTTGCTATTTTAGACACTTTCTGCATTCAGGAGCTTTCTTTTTAATACATAATATGTATTTATGTTTTTAATACATAAATTGTTTTTAATACATACATGTTTTTAATACATAAATTGTTTTAATTAGACAAAAAAAATGTTGTATTACAGTATAGTATAGGAATGTGTTTCTACTACTAATTTTTTTTTGTCTGTTTCTCTGTACAGGCAGAACAGACAGCTCAGGGCTAAAACTGTACTACACAGACCAACTGCGGCAGCATGATGTGGGCGTCTTGATGACAGGTATAATATCTTCACACATGCCGTACATGATACCGCCAAAGGCTCAGGAGTTCCACACCTATGGCGTGTGTAACACCTCACTCTTCACTCAGGTACGTAGGGGTTCTGGGATTGGTTCAAAAAGTTATATTTTTGACTATTCTTTTTTTTAGCACTGATATTTTACCCCTTAACTATAGATGGGGGATCCTATACCTGACCTCAACGTTTTTGTCGTCCTGCTGCACACTCATCTGGCAGGTAGAAAAGTCAGAGTGGCCCAGTACAGGTAAGGAAGAGGGAATTTGGTTTGAATTACTCTGTGATCACAATGGTTTATTACATTATGCTCTAATACATTAAACATTATCTTACTCAAATTGTACCTGTCGGTCTCTTTAGGGACGGCAAGCAGATTGATTTCTTGGCTGTGGATGAACACTACAACTTTGAGATGCAACGTTTTAAGAATGTCGGTAAAATCAAGACTATCAAACAGGTATTTTTTAAATCCTTTTTATGTAACATGGTAATTCTAGATAGTTTTTAAAGTGATATCATATTACTTTAAGAATGCTGTATTATGTGTGTCATAACAGAACGATGAGATTGCGGTGGAGTGTACTTACGACACAATGGATCGCACTAACGTGACCAAGGTAGCTTTTACTTTCTCTAATCATGTATTTGAAAGGGGGAAAATACCTTTAGCATCAGCAGACATACTATGAGTTGGTCAAAGTAATTGTACTGCCATCTATAGTTCCATTATAAATGAAAGAAGTGTGCATGTTTTTGAATGTGGTTTGTTCCTTCTCCTTTAGATGGGCTTGGCAACCACAGATGAGATGTGCTTGGCCTTTATAGCATATTACCCTGCAATTAAGTTTAGAACATGTACTGGCCAACCAAATACAACAACTTTGTACTCAAGCGACACAAGTCACGAGTAAGTCCGATTATTGTTTTTTCTAAGTTGCAGTTGTAGATGTTGTTGTAGTTGTAGTTGCTTTTTCTGCTTTTTTTCAAGTTGGTTTTTGTTTAATTTCTGACAGGTTGTTTGAGCCTGACAACATTGAAAATTATGAGCAGGTGCTGAAGAAACTCCCACAATTACAGATAGTAACAGACGTTGAGGTAAGTAACATGTTAATTATTTTGACTAAATCTCCAAAAAGTGTGACCTTTACCACATTTTCTGTCAGGATTTTCAGCTGAAAATAAATATACCCATCAATCTCCTATCCGGTGGTGGCATCAGTGTGTTGCCCTAATTTAATTTGACCACTTTTCTTTCACAGAACAATTTGGCATTTTACAGTAAAGGCTTCGTCAGAGAGATGAAGGAAAGTCACACTCACAATACTTGTTCGCAGACCAATGCATCAAATAGGCTGTACACCCGCTGGACAATGAGCCCGGGAGGATTAATGCTTTTCCTCCTCTGTATTGCACTAATGTAAAAAATCCCAGGAGCAAGAAGTGGAATTTTTGTGATAGACTGAGATACAATGGCTCTGGTATAATTTAATTGAGGAAATTCTACTTTCTTAAACAGAAAATAATTAAAAAAATATTTTTATTATTCCTTATATTCATTTTTTAATAAAAGTGTGTGTTTTTTTAAATATCATTTTAGATTACTGTATGTCTTGTGCCTTTGTATAGATTTATAATCATGTATTGCCTCATATTACAAGCAAACATGTACAAGAGAACCTGCATATTATTGGCAAGGGGCTACTAGGATAACATAGCTAACAATGGCTACAAAATAAACTTTTAACAGAAGTAAGTGGTAGAAGGTGGGTGGAAAAATGGGTAAGTATGGATAATATGGGACAGGTATATAACGTAACGAGCTGGAAATGTGTCTAGAAACGCTCCTGTGCAACAATACACACTGTTAAATGTCAACATGTATAAATGAGAAATAAAATAAATGTTAAAAAATAAAAATTATAATAATAAACAAAACAAAAAAACAAGGAATATTTTAATTTGTTGATGAACGAACGTACATTTGTAGTTTTACAGACTCACCTCAGGGGGTGCTGTAGTTCTTTTCTCTGCCTTTCTCTGTTTCACTGTCAGAGTGAATGAATGTGTACGACTAGCCGGCTAGTTGCCTTAGCAATGTGGTCGCTCTCATAATGATATCGCAGAGGGACAGTGGAGAACTGGCTCGGTTTTATACTGTCACGGATCCCAAGAAGCACCAAAAAGGTTATACTGTGTACAAAGTCACTGCCAGGGTAAGTGAAGACAGGATGTTAACGGCGGCATCTGAGCTAATGCTAAGTGTTGTTAGCCTGCTGTCCAGTTCAGCTAATATAATGTGTAAACAAAGATGGAACGCGAACTACTTGTCATTGTGACACACCAAAGTAAACTGTGGGCAACTTGTGTAGAGAGTGGCAACTTGGCAACTAGTGGACTCGAACATAAAGCCTTCGGGACCCAAGTCCGCGTCCTTAACCACTGCCCCAGTAAACGCTAACAGAGCTAACCTAGTGAAGATTTGAACGTCTTCTGTGTAATTAACAGCCATAGTTGAGGAAAAAATGTATTTAAATGTCGGGGATGTGGTTATAGCAGGGAGTTGTCTTGTTTTTCTCATCTGTGTTAACCAATGTTAAATGCCATGGCAGGTTAGCAGCTTGTAGCTAAAAACACAAAACAGTCTTGCCATAGCATTATAGTGAACACATAGCAGCACATTTTACATGGTCTGTTTAAAATGGTTATTAGATTGAGATTTTAGCTTCAGAGCTAACTAAAAATGATGTCTGACCTATGACTTGTATTGTGATGATTGAAATCTAGTGGATAAGACAGTGTGCCACAAGAAGGAACAGTACTTTGTTATTAACTGTGTTAGTGGGTAATGTTCTTTTACAACTTATTCTTACTAGTATTATATGCAGAAACTCACAGCTGACAGCTGAACATTTTTTAAAATGTCCTAAGATAATGAAATGCAGTGAAATTTCTGTGTTTTCATCAACACTTTTACCTGACCTTAATGTCACAGCGTGTTTCATGATTATACAGCTACAGTGGAACATTCCCAGTCTAATCACATGCAACAAGGGCAGGCCGACTCTCTTTGTCTCCTCCTTCCTGAGATCCTGTTTGCTACAAATGTTGGAGATGTCTCGCTCTAACTCTCAAGACTTCCGTCACACAGCTCCTTCATAAAGCACTCATTGTCAGACTCAGAAGCTGTGTCCTGGCTGACACTCCATTAAGATCCACATTTGTATTTGAGCTTGCAGCAAAACCAGCCAATATATTCTGTGGTTTTATATATAAGATGCACAGTGAACTTCTTAAATCTCTGTATCTTTTTCCCTTTTTGTTCTTAGATAATCTCTAGGAAGAACCCAGAGGATGTTCAAGAGGTAAGACATGGAACTATCTGATAACATTTACTTTTCTATCAAGTTTTGCACCATTTGTTCAAACATATTACATCAACTACAAATCGTTAACTACATCTAACAATTTGTAAGTGTTTATGCAAATAAATTCATAAATACATTTGAGAGAGAACATTTCATTTGACCTCAAGAAAATGTCATCAGTTGAACTAAGACCTTTTAACATTACGCTGGTTTAACCACTGCTATGGTTCTCTGTTCAGTGATTTAACAGTAATGTCTGTGAAATTACCAGAATTAGGAATTAATTAGATTTTCATTATTAAAATGACTCAATGGTTGTCCCATTTAAACTGTCAAAAATACCCTACCCTGCTTTTTACTAGAATACACATCTTCATAGACACTCACCTTACAACCACAGTAATTGTTACATACTCTGGAGATAATATGTACGACGCTGACTGCCTTACTTTCAAAACCTTGAGAGGAATGCAGCGTGTCCTCAAACCAGAGTTAATGCAATGTGTATGATGGCAATTACTAAATGTGTGTCTAAGATGTCTGAAAATTAAGTTACCTCTGTTGCTAAGTGCTGCTCTAGTTCGGGAATGTTACTCAGGCCAGTCTGTCTCACAGCAGCCGCCAAGCCTGGAGTTTAACAAACTGTACCTCTGTTTTTATCTTTGGCTCATCTTATAGATTCTGATATTTTTTTAGGAATATTTAACTGAAAGAAAAATCAATACAGTTATTCAGTTGGTCACATAGGGATGTAATATAAAACATTTAGTATCCAAATCTTTCCTTAAGTATTTATTATTGTACGTTTCCTCCTCTTCTGTAGATAACGGTGTGGAAGAGATACAGTGATTTCCGGAAACTACATCAGAATCTCTGGCAGTTGCACAAGAATGTTTGTAGCCAGTCAGAGCTTTTTCCTCCGTTTGCCAAGGCCAAAGTTTTTGGTAAGAACTAAAAAATCTTACGTGAGATATTTGTTCTTTTGAGATGAGCCAAAAATGCAGATCCATCTTCTGTTAGTTGCTTGTTTTTGATCATGGTTTGCCTTTCTATGATGGAAGATTTCAGTTGAATCCAGTTTTAATGACCAGTTGTCATAATAAAGTCTAATGTTATGTAAAATGTTCAGAATGTTGAAAGAGGAATACAAGGATTTTTAAAAGAAGAAGCATACATATTTAAATAACCCCTTTAGCCACTTTAATTTGCCATAAAAAGTGTATAGTTGGATGTTCAAGTGCTGGTCAGCTTCCCTTTTCCTCTTTTTTCTTGTTTCACTTCAGTTGCACTTTTTATAGCATTTCACTGAGCAAGTCATAAAAACGTAGGGAAGTCAGTTAATCAATAGCCATAAAAAATGTTAAATACTTAAAGCAAAGTATGATTGTAAACTGTGCATACAGTTCATACATCACTTTAATAGTACCCAGTAATAGTGGAGTACTGTTTCACCTCTTCCCCTTAATTTAAGGACCATGCTGTTTCAAATATTTTCAAGAAACTGTATTGCAAGGTAGAATTTCTTTTTCAACCATTTAAGTGAACGTATAATCTGGTGCAAAAACTCCACAGACTCTCTTTGTCTCAACACCCTGAACAAATGTCAGAAGAGTAGGAGGGAATAAAGATGAGGGAAAACACTAGATGCTAAGTTTTTGACTCTTGGCTGGGGAAAAAAAAGAAAGTGATGACTCTGCCCCCTGAAGCCAACTTAGTGTTATTTCTCAGTCAGCATGCTCATGGTCCCTCTGGATATAATCACACATGTGTTTGTGTGTGCAGGTCGTTTTGATGACTCGGTGATTGAAGAAAGAAGGCAGTGCTCTGAGGATCTACTACAGTTTTCTGCAAACATCCCCGCTCTTTATAGTAGTCAGCACATCCAGGATTTCTTCAAGGTACACTCGAGACACACACACACACACACACACATACCCACACAGAAATGCAGTATTTACAGAGAAGCTGTGTGGACTGCAATGTTTATAATATTCTTCAGGGGGGTGAGGTCCACGACAGCTCGGAGCTGATTGGACCAGCTGAGCCCTTTTCAGATTTCCTGGCAGATAGTTTTTCAGACTGTAGTTCTGATGGTACGGTTCAAGACATTCTGAATTAATTTAATTTTTTTAATTGTCTATTCTCTATGCTGGATTAAATTCAAATTGTTGTTGTAAAATGTTTTTTCAGTTCAAAAAGACATCAGTGGTGCAGAAGATTTGACAGTTCCTTCCGAGTATGGAGGTAAAAGTTGTATTTGATTTCTTCAGACTTTGTCTAGTCTACATTTGTTTTTACAGAGGTTGTAAACGTATCTGTGTGTATCCAAGGCCCATCCAGTGGCAGCGCCCTGACCTCTCTTGCTGTGGATACAGACTCATTGGCTGGGGTGGATGATGGCATGGCCTCGGGCGGCACCTCCCCAAACCAGCCACAGGGGGGCGCTTACAACCTTAGTAGCAGCTGCAGCCCTCGCCTGCCAACCTTGCGCTTACATCGCTGCCCATCTCCTTCCACAGCCCCTGCCTCCTCAGCCCCTAACCCAGAGGTCACTTGGCCGAGCCGCACGCCACTCCTGTCTGGCTCTTTGAGAAAAACAAGTAGTGGAAAACCAAAGGAAGTAAAGTCAGACTATCTTGATAAGGCCACCAACCTCATCTGTGTGGCTGTGGAGAAGGAAAAAGAGCAGGACTACCAGGCAGCGTTTTCCTACTATCGCAGCGGAGTAGACTTGCTGCTGCAAGGAGTGCAAGGTCAGAGAGTGGACAGATACTGTATATATTACTTAGGTAAAAGGACAAAGGTATGATTGTTACAGGCTTTCAACAGTATTTATCCGATTTGGAGCAAGGTGGGCAAATCTAATTTGTAAAAGTCTTTTAGTGTAGTACATATTTTTTATATTGAAATTTAAGAAAGTTTATAACATTTTTCTTGTCCACTAAGTGGAGTGTAATTTCAAAGTTTTCATGTCCACTAAGTGGAGTGTAATTTCAAAATAGTACCAAAAACTTTACAAATTCTTTGTGAACGAAACTAGTTGGTGTCATTGTTCCAGGTGAGCCCAGTCCCACTCGACGTGAAGCAGTGAAGAAGAAAACTGCAGAGTATTTGATGCGAGCAGAACAAATATCCACCCACTACCTGAAGGGCAACATGGGCCAAGGATCAACGCAGACCATAGTGAGTGGGATTAACACTCTGTTTATTTAAGAAAATCTGTTCACCTTAATCAGTCTGTGCCTGTCTCTGCTTTACGGCAGAAAATCAGCAGTTAGTTTTTTACAGTACGATCCATAACAATTCCCTACCTATATTGTGTATTTATATACAGTATATATATATGTTCAGGTTCATTCTTCTCAAAGAGAACTCCTGAGGGATTTATAAAGTTCTAGCTCTCTGTCTGTCTGTCTTTTTCTAAGGCTTTGGGGGCTCAGTGCTGCCCTCCCACCACCAGAGCAGGTCAGCAGGGTCCATATGAGGAGCTGGGAGCCTACAGGGTGTTGGGCGTCATAAACAAGGTCTGTCAGTCACATGTTTGGATTGTTTAGCTGAGGTTTTAGTTATTTAAAAAAGAAAAAATATATATTTATAATCCCTATTAAAACTAGAAATCCCACATATAACTAATATCTAAACAAACTTGTTTTGATGCCTGTTCTTTGAAAATAAAAATGAAGCTGATTTTCTTTTTTCATAAAAGTTAATAAGCCCTAAACCAAAGCCAGTCATTACACAAATTTTTATTTATTCATAATGTGTGCCAGACCAGATAAACGAGGACACCACCCGCCTCCAAATTTCACCTCCTTATGTCCCTTTTCGTCTTCGGCCATCTCTTTTATATGAAGTGATAAAAGCTAATAAATTCACTGGATGGTATAGTACGGGCTGAGTGTGTTTAGTGTCAGTTATGGCCACCACAAGGTCAGTTTGGGTTCCTGGTCCTCTCAACCAGCTGCCAACGAAGCAACTTCACCAGTCAGCCATGAAATGACTTGGCAAGCAGCTCAGAGAGTAGCACACAACGCTGAATCAATGATGCTCATCCTACACACAGAGACACGACAAACCCCAAGGAAAATGTTGACACAAGACCAACACGTGTAACTCTACACACGTGCCCTTTAAACCCACAGTGTTTGAGACACAAAAAATAAAGTCCAAAAGCAGATGAAGTTGCCTAGAAATGACCAGGCTTTCCTCCTCCCCTTCAATCTTCTTTCTTTTACTTTTAATGGGGACAGAGGGGACAGATGGAGAGAGCTCCTCACCCCAGTGCAACCCACCCTCCACTCTTCCTCCCCCTTTCCCTGATGTTTGTGTCTTAATTATATTAGCAGCCTGGCTAGCAGTGGCACTCTGTTTACTCACAGCTTCATTCATATCCATTTAGCCTGCACCTGTTTGGTCCCGGCCAGGGTCACATGGAGACAACGCATCCACTAAACATACGCACACACACGTACACAGGAGGTTACACACATATGTTTAAGCTTCCCCACTGGAGCAGTGAGAAGCAGGCGAGCAATAGAGATGTCAGGGTGAAAAAAGGAGGTTTGAGTGAAATGTGAGTAAAGAGATGTTACACGATGGGGATGGCAATGAAGCCCTTTTAAATGCAAATGTGAAAATGTTAAAGATTAAAGAATGTAAGGGTCATAGCTCTGATCATATTTATTTTTAAAAAAAGGAATCAAAATTATTTGTAGAAATTACTAAAAATACCAAAGATTTTACCTTTTTTTTAAAAGTCTCGTAGTTCCTCTACCCAATGATCATTACTCAAATCAGAGTGTGATGCAGAAAAAGTTGTGATTTTAATAGAATATTTGGAACTATGTTTGTGAATTGGACAAAAAATTACTTTTTTGTATCTGCACCAACAGTTCTGGAAATTGAGTTTCCCTCTTTAAAGTATACATTTAAAAAACGGCATGCTCGTGCTCTTTCTTTTCTGCTTACGCCACACATAATGAAGCCATTTGAATGTGATATGTTAAAATTAGACTCCTGCTGTAATTTAGGAACCTGCATTTATCTTGACGCGACCCTTCTTTGAAAAAAACGCTGCAGGACAACACTGCTTCACAGCCTAACGTTGTGTTTGTCTGTTCATACGTGGCAATTAACAGCACTCTACCATCACAGGTACTACTGGTCATGGACAAGCGAACAGAAGAGACCTTCATCCTGAAGGTAAAAGCATGTGTATGTTGGTGTGTGTGTGTGTGTTCCAGTCTTCCAGACTATAAGTGTTAACTGTGAAGTGTGCCAGAAGCCCCTGTGTGTGACCGCTGTAATTGATTCTAATGGGTCTGTCTCTGTCAGCTCCTCTGCTCTCAGGTGTGAGACGTGTGCCAGATGCCAACGCACATTGCAACCACAGATGACTACACAGACGGGCACAGACACACACACACACATACTTAACACTCACACATACACGCACACACTCTTTGCAGGCAATGTGAACCTTACGCGTAGTGCTGATAGATTTATGTGGCTGTTTTAAAGTCACGCGCTGTGTGTGGCTTGATGAATCCTGTGACTTTGGGTTGCCATGGGGCTTAGATGGCACTTGGCTAATGAGAACTTTCTCCTTTGCAATACTCTTTATCTCAGAGTCACTCTCATCTACCCTTATGTCCCTCTTCATGTTGGTTTGATGTTTTCTCCTTAACCTTAAATGAAAAAAGCAACTTTTTTTTAACCTTAATCCCTTGTTTCTTCCCTAATTTCTAGGGTCTGAGGAAGAGCAGTGATTGTGGGCTTGTTAAGAGAAGGATCATGCCTCACTGCGTGCCCTACATGGTACAGCTGAGGAAGTTCATTGTTACTGAAGACTCAGTTTTCCTTCTGCTTCAGTATGCTGAAGGTATGATCACAGACTTTATATGAAAGATGAATGACCACCGTTAGTCGGAAAGAGCTATAAATATATAAAACATGTTTAGGTTTGGATTACTGACCCAGCAATCGTCTTAATAAAGGTGTCAACTGGCTCCTAACCCTTAATATAGAAGCGAGAGTGGCACAAACTGCTCCTTTAAAAATACTAATAATACTCATCATCTTTTTTGTGTACTTTTAGTCTAAAATGGTAAAACAAAATGTTGAAAAATTCCTCTCGTCTCACATCTCTTTTCTCTGCCCTTGTTGCAGACAAGTGAGTAAGAGCTGATTTTGTGTCACAGGTCATTATTCTGAATAGCAGGTGGCACCATGCTTCATTAGCTATGCCAACACCTGGGCCTCCTTACAATCCACTCGTTGGTAATGTGTGTAGATTGCACATACAGCGAAATGTTGCCATATTTTTAAATGCCCTGTAACCAAACTGCCCTAATTCATGGTCAAAATGTGCTCATATTGATGGAATGTATTGATTATAAAAGCGGACTGTTTAACATAATGTGATGAAGCCGTTCTAATGCCACAAGAGGTGTCATTTCCCCGCTGTCACGTCCCAGTGCTTTAATTCAGAAAGTCCACGGTTGCTCCTTTCAAGTGTGTTGTTTACAGCTGACAGGTTGAATGAGGATAGACAGGCAGATGAAAGAGAGGCAGTGACCTGAGTGACATTGGACAAAACAACATATGGATGGTTTTACTTTCAGAGCCATCGAGCTGCCCTGCTATCATTACCATCACTGAGAACTCCCTATCCATTCTCATCACACACAACAGATGCTGGCTTCCAATTGCTCACACTACAGCTGTCTCTCTCTCTCTCTCGCTCTCTCTCTCTCACTGTCTCTTCTCTGTACATATATATGCCCACATGCATTTGAGTAGGACACAAAACATCACACAAGGAACCATCCGACTGCATTTAACCAAAGTGTTTGTTTACCTGTTATCTTTAAATGGCAATTAATGATCATTTTCAAGCTCTTGTCGCAGCATCCAAGGATGTACAGACACTTAACCACTGGGAGCATTAAAGAAGACGGTGTGATTGTTTTTTTTAACGTATGCAAACAGAACAAGATCATTTCATTTATAACGCTGATGTTTAACTCAACAGAAACAGACTATTATTTCATTAAAATCTTAAAGTAAGACTAGGGATGCATCGATACCTACTCAACTATTGGTATCAGGTCTGATATCTGATCCAAATTTTATAATCTTACTTTCTGTTTACCTGACTGTGAAAATTACATTTTATTTCTTGTACGACATCTCTAATATTAGACATCTTTGACCTGCAGGTGGGAAACTGTGGTCTCACATTGAGAAGTATCTTCACAATTCAAGCCCAGAGGAGAGCTTTGACATTCCTTTCATCCAGAAGAGCCATACAGCAGCAGTTCATTCAACTCATCGTGCTGTACAACAGCTGGATATGGATATGGACTCTGCCAGTTCTGGTTCAGGCCCTGTTCCCGGTTCTGACTCCCTGTCAGAGCAGCACAAAGAACAAGAAGACCAGAATATAAGCACTTCTTGTCTTAAAAATATTCTTCCTGCCAGACCTGTCCAAAAACCTGGTCCTCACTCTGACTCTGGAGCCAAGTCTGAGGAGGAGTGCACTGACAGTTATTTAACTCTTTGTAATGAATATGAACAGGAGAAAGTAGAATCAGATGCTCTAGAGGAGGAAGAGGAGAAGAGCGAACAGGAAATGCTGTCAGTAGAAGTGCCCACAGCCAGGACCACCACTTCCTCACGCAGCCGCTCGCTGCTGAGCAACGACAGCCTCTCTTCACCGCTCGGCTCTCAGGAACTCGGCTTCTTTACCGAGTCTTCCGACAAAAGTGGACTCATGACCCATGACCATGGTGAGGGTCTGGACAACTGTGAAGTTTTCAGTCCCCTGCCTTCTCCTGCTGTGCCGCTGTCTCTGGATCAGTCCAAGCACACACCCATGGAGTTTTTCCGAATTGACAGCAAAGACAGTGCGAGTGAGGTGACCTGCCTGGACTTTGGAGAGCAGCGCCCACTCCCAGTTTTTTCTACATCTGATCTGGGCTCAGACATTAACGAGGAATTTTCAGAACTGGCCCAGGAGGTCAAGGGTCACAGCTCGGAGCTGTGGTGGTTGGACTGTAGTGATAATGAATCAGTGCCAGTCATCTCATTTCAAGAAGCAGCTATTGAGGATGAGGGTCAGCCGCCTGATCTTTTAGTCAACCTCCCTGCAGTGAGTGGAACTGTTGATTCTTTACAGGAGGAACTGACAACATCAGGAGTGTGTCTGGGCCTGGAGGCTACAGCTTCCCCTCACAAGTTCATCCAGCCTGATGTTTTACAGCTTCACAGCCAACCTGAGGATGCAGCGGAACAGACACGTTCATCTCTATGCCCTGTCTCTGCAACCTGTGACACAGGAATTGTATTTTCAACTCCTGTAAACCTCCAATGGAATGACTGCAACCTGTCAATTGGAGTTGAAGCGTCTGACAGAACGGCAGCTGATCTGAAATGCCATGACAAAGTCCTTTCCCTGGATCCAAAATATCCACAAACTGACTTGCAAAGTGGGAAACTTGAGGCTGGCACTGAAGTTAACACTGAGTCCACTGCAGATTCTATCACGGTCACAAATGAGACAGATGACCGTGCTGTGGTAGAAGGCTTATTAGCCAGTAATAGTGAATTATCAGGAGTGGTTAGTAATAAGACTGTCACAGACTTTGATAAAGAAGTATCACGGCTCTTCGCAGAGCTGGACCAACTGTCGTTGGCTGCGTCCCAAGCTCGTATCCCAGAGGAGTTTGTCCGGTGCTGGGCTGTGGAGCTGGTGACAGCACTGGACTCACTGCATCAAGAAGGCATCATCTGCCGAGACCTGAACCCCAACAACATCCTGCTCAATCACCAAGGTGAAACACCGATATTTTTTTACAAGTACTTTGGTCTTTAATGGGCAGCTGTTAAACCTAACTGTTGTACTCTGATAATAAACATCCTTAAGTGTCTCCACCAGCCGAACAGCACCTGAGTGAACAATAACAATGTCTGAGGCTGTTATAGCCTATAAGTTTAACATCTATTAAAGTTTAAATGCTAAATCCATTGACTTTCTCTCTAAAGGCCCAATAAGAATGATATTGACTGCCCTACATAGAGATTTGACTAATGTCTACGTAAACTTTGTGGGGAAAACTGAACACTAGGGTTCATGCAAGATCATAAAATTCTGGTGGAGCTTAAGAGATAATTTTATAAATTTTAATTCCATTGTAATTTTGTCAGTAATTTGTGTTTTGTACACAGGCTCTTAGGAAAGACTTGTTTTGATAGAGTCACTCTCTCTGTCAGTCAATCATGATGAACCAAATGCTCCTGTAGAAGGTAAAAGGGCTGTTTCACCAGGAGGTCACAGATTCTCCCACAACTTCTTCTTTTGTGTCATGCCACAATTATCTTTTTCCACTTCGTTATCGACAAGCGTCTAATTAGCTGAGTGGCTGTTTTCGTCTCCCTGGCGGTAATTATTGTTCTAAAGGGCCCATCAACGGCATAGTGTGGTGCATCAGTCTGGCTAGCCCAGGCTAATGGCCGCGGCTACCTAATGACACCATTAGTTCTAATGATAGCGTTAACGGGTAGCTGCTAAACAGGAGTAATCGCTGTGACTCTGTGCTTGAAAAGCTCACAGGGAGTTTTAGAGAAACAGAAAAGAGAAAGACGAAGACGGGGGAGGACAATGTACAGTTTGGTTTAGTAGAGAGTCACACAGTATATATTTGTCCATTTCCTGGTTAGTTTTACACATGTTTGTCATCTTTTGTCCATCTAGGTCACATACAGATGACCTACTTTTGTAGCTGGAGTGACGTGGAGGAGTCGTGTGACAAAGACGCCATGTCAAATATGTACTGTGCACCAGGTAAAATATACTTCATTAAAATTAAAGATTATACCTAACTAGTTAATAGTGTGATTGCCTGGAGGTTTACGTAGGGTTAATCCTATTCAGGCATGCATGACGTGTACTGTTGCCTTTTCTTTGCCAGGTCACCTTTATTTAAGAGGTCTTGATCTTAATGGGTCTTTACCTACAGTTGTTAAATAAAGGTTGAATAAATTAAAAAATGCAGGACCAAAAATAGGCCACTTTCCCACAGTCACAGAATCCTCATTCATAACCAAACATGAACAACTTATAAAAATTAACAAATGACATGGAATCATTTTACTCATTCCCATGGGCCTGACCCCTGCATTAGTGTGATCTATGTAATGAGAGTTGATGAATGTAAGTCTGAATGGCTTTATGTGTATATGTGGCTTTATAATGGACTGGTGGTGACCCATATAGGGTCCTGCTGACCTATGTTGGTGTTGCAGCAGCAGATAAATACATCAGTGAATGAAAACCATCTGGAAATTAACGGGAATATCTTTTTTTTTTTACTTGTAGCACTTTTCTTGTCCTGTAGAGTGTGCTGTTGTGCAACAGTGAGCCAGTTGACCCTGAGTGTTGCCCTCAGTGAGCCTGTGACAGCTCTGGCATGCTGTTTAAAAGCTGCTTAAAACAAACTGCTGCTCCACTGCAGCACCATGTCCCTACTTAGCACTTGTGTGTGTGTGTGTGTGTGTGTGTGTGTGCAAGAGTGCATGTCCACACATGCGTTTGACATCTATGGGTGGATAACTTTGCAATCTGCTGCTGCTGCTGCTGCTGCTGCTGCTGCTGCTGCTTTAAGCATATGGCTTCACACTCAGGCTGTTGGATAGATGATGCACAGTGTGTTTAATTACATCTTTCTTAAATATTCAGGATGAGTGACTGTTAGATGAAAAACACAGCATGCACACTTAGACGTACACAGTGACCCTCACACTCATTCACTCTCCCACACACTTGTATTAAGCTATTCATCCTCTCTCTCGCTCTCTCTCTCTCTCTCTCTCTCCCTCCCTCCCTCTCTAAAGCCGTTCCCTTCACTTCAGATTTAAATCCTCCTTGTGTCTAGAATGTACAGTACGGCTCTATTGTAATAAATCTAAAAGCAACAAATGCTTAATCTCATATTCAAACTGTGCATTTTTTTCGTTCCCTTAGCAACAGCCTGTTTAAAAGCTCACTAATGGAAAGAGGAGCAGATCGAGGCATACGTCCCAGTGGTTAGTGCCACACAGCCATGATGTATGAATAATGTCTGCGTTGAACAGTTAGAACACCATTTGTGTTGCATTCAAGTACTTGATTTTCACTGTTCTGTTCAGTGTTTACTGTGAACTGATCATTTAAGTCAGGTCAGTTTTATTGGTCACATTAGTTTAGATTCATTTGACCATTATTATAATAAAACTGTAGCAAGACTTTCTTAAGTGGAACAAGAGTAAATAAAAAAAATAAAATTGCTAAATAGATCTATAATGTATAAAACACCTGCTCATAAATAATTCTGCAAACATATATTTGAATAACATTTACATTTTTTTAGTGGGTCATTGTTCTTCCTGCCTTTTATTTAACTCTTTTCAAAGGCTAGCCTCAGATCTTATTCTGTTTTAGTTTTATTCACGAAATATGCAAAATTAAGGATTTTATGGCCTGCTACTAGACAAAGAAATATTTTTTCACATCCTCCCAATCCTAAGGCATTTTATTTCTCAAACATTTCAAATTAACATCTGATTTGGACCAAGTGTGGTTTATAACACCTGTCATATACGACAGCAACCAGCAGGGGGTGTTTTACACTGCTGCTGCTTAGTTTAAAGAACTTTGTGATTGTACTTTACAATCACAAAGTTGTGATAAAGTTCACTGAAAACTTTATCTCTCTTTTTTTTATAATTTATGAGGTTCACTTTTTTTTCTGCTGCCTCTTATTTTAATAACCTCTACTTTACTCATTTCTTTCCTGTGAACCGTACATCAGATAAATACATTTATCTTTAGACATGCGGTACGAGCTCCTGAACACATACACTAAGCCAGAGGTTAGTGAGTATGTCTCACTGCTGCCCTTGTTATGTATTACTGTTTATCCAGACAGGGTCAGCTCCAGCAATGGCTTCATACCTGATGACAGATTTATGACTGTTTGCCAGAAAGCAGGCAGGAGGCCTGCTGTGACCGTGTGTGTGTGTGTTGGTGTGTATATGAAAAGGACAGAAACATGTTTTTTTTAAACTCACCCAAAAAACAGGAGTGGACACGGAAAGCACAGCGGCAGGGTGTTAGTCTGTTTATTCTCCACTTGTTCTTCTTCACTTCACCCACGTCATCACGGTGTGTTTTTATGGTACAAAGAGCCGTTGGGTGACTGCAAGTGGTTGTTCTGAGAAGAGGGAAGCAGACCGAAATTAGTTGTCTTTATTGTTTAAGAAAAGGGAAATTCACTTTTCTTCCCTTTTGGTTCAACAAGACTGTTGATGGCAAGAAAAAAAAAACCAAAACATTACACTTTCTGTTGCTGCTGGTGTTTTTCTTTTACCTGCTGCACCACAGTGTGAGTAAATGGAAGATAAGGTTCACTTCCTCTACCGTCAGTTAATTGTTTTGTAAAATGTACGGGGTGAAAACACTTCTGCTTCATCCTGCAATGATTTCACTCTCTTGTCAGTGGGAATAAGAGGTGTAGTGAACGTAAGTGTCGTGTTGGTTTCATTGGCTCAGCTCCAGTTGAACCTTCTAACATTTAACAGTCTTAGAACAACAGGTTCAGGCGCCTCTTACTTCCTACCTGCATGCATGTGACTTCCTCTTTCCCCGAGACTGTCGGTTAAGTATTTAGGGAAGTTGGTCTAAGAGGAGAAGAGAGGAACTTCCTTATGGCCCGAGGAGGGAGGAGATGAGGTATGATTAAGATACGGAGCAGGAGGGAAGTACATTGTTGAGTGGAAGGGGAAGAGGAGACTATAGGTTAAACACATTACATTGCTGTTTGTTTTATGTGCAGTGCAGGAACGACAGTTCTATCGTAACGTACACAGAGCATTTCACCAGTGGGCTGTGGAGGCAGGGCAAAGGTCAAATCTCCTTTCCCATCCTCTTTCTTTCCCTCCGCGTCTCTTTCTCACTGCCTCGCTCCGACAGAGCGGTAAGTGTAGCCAGCTCTGCTGCATCTCCCTGCAGCTCCTTAGACATTAATCCATTGTGATGACATCGACCTTGCTCTAAGACGTGTGTGTAATTTCATGTGTGTGTTTGTGTGTGTCCATTAATTTCCCTGCAGCTCATAACTACACAGGTATCACTGGTCCATTCAATGACGATCTTCTCTCCTTGGCTGTCAAAACAGTGATCCTGGGGAGCCCTGAAGAGTGCGTTGCTCAGTCGGCTGCGTGTGTCTTTAAAACCTACTAGTCACACTGTAGCTCTTTCTAACCTTGGCTGCGAGAGAACCACGCAAAGGCAGTTTGGAGCAGCCTCCAGGAGATGGAGAGTCAGTGTCTTTCTAATGTCAATCCAGCTGAGGAGCCTGGTCTCTGGCTACACATGGCCACGACCTCAGGTCCTGACCCTGTGGGTGACCAAGCACCCTCCCTCTGAAGAGGAGCCGAGTGACACGAGACCATCTGGCTACCATGCTGGCTCTCTCTCTCTCGTACAGTGTATTATATGTACAGTATGTCCTTATATAGACTCACTTTTACAGTATATACGGATGGGAAATGATCTGAACCGACTGATTTCCATCTCCATTATCGATATCACTTATAGATTCACCTTCTTATCAAGTCACCACCGACTCTTAATTTAAATGTTATAAAAGTAGATGGTCATTGTTCTCACACTAGTGAAAGCAGGTTTTTACAGTAGAGTATCTTCACTTCACTGCAGTGTCTTAAACTGTAGTGAATAAGGACAATTTCTTAGTAAACAAATGAGGAAATAATCAAAAATTTATGATGTGACCTTTTGTCAGATTTTAATTTGCTGTTGTTGGAAAAACAGCATCATTTCTCTCTATTACTTGTGCCTGGTACTGACCAGTGCACGGTACCAGAACCGACTCTGTCGCAAGGCTTATGTATAATTACAGTATGGAATGAGAACCCCACTCCAGCAGGAACAGAGGTGTTGTCATGACTTTCCATGTCGGGCTGGTTGTTACCGTTGGATGACAAGTCAAATAACAGAAGACAGAGTGTCGTTGACAGTTGGGCCGTTCAATAATTACTTGTCAACAAACTATTGTCAGGAGCGTTCATTGATGTACTTGTCTGTAGCCGAGCTCTTGGACAGTTGTGTCATACTTTACTCTTTTCCCTGTAAATGGGATCAAAATATATCAAATTGGCATTATTTTTTAAGAAGAATTAAATTATATGAATGCTAAGAATTCATATAGTTATTTTTTTCAAACCAGTTAAATCTGTTTTTTCTTCCTTTGGCAACTCTAACCTGCAGCCACTCTGCTCCGTCCATTTCTTATATACGGTCTGTCATAAGGACATACTGTCTCAAGCTTTTTGGCAAAATTCTACACAAATCCAAATTTGCTAAGATTTCTAAAGACGAGAGTAAAATTTATTGGCGTAGTTTTCTGCTTTTCTGTGTGTGTGGGTGTGAGCGCACACGTGTGTGTGTGTGTGTGAGGTCAGGTCATGCAGATGGTGTGAAGTTGCAGCACAGACGGTTTTCTCAATTTAACTGCTTTTTTATTATGCAAATGACCCTTTTATGAGAAACACACTGGTGTGTGTGAGCGTGTGTGTGTGTGTCGGTGAGTGTCTTTGTGCACATTTCAAATCGATTGAATGTGCTCAATGAAATATTTAGTAATCCAAGATGTCATTCTAAAATTGTATTTTAATGCGAAGGTTTGGTTGAAAGTTAGTAAAACAGCTTGCAGCTCATTTTGTCTCTACCTCCACTTAACGACTTATGTTCACCGCGAACACATGCGATCTTTCTCACTAATTTATCGATCACTCCTGTGTCTTTTTGTTCCTGCTTCTGACTCAGAGGTAGGAGGAATCGGTGAGGAGACTGCAGCGTGCGATTGGTGGAGTTTGGGCGCCATCCTCTTTGAGCTCCTGACAGGCATGGTGAGTCAAAAAAAAGTATTTGAAAATGTTGTCTTTGTTACTAAGTCGTCGTGGGACGTCTGTAGGTGTCTTGGCTTCCAACACTCTCACACACTCTTTGTGGTCGTGCCAAGTTGTGTGTGATTCTGTATGTGCTTGGGTGTTTGTTGTTCGGGGTTTTGTTTGTGAATGTGTGTGAGGTGCGTCTTGGCTGCTGCCTCTTACTCTGGTTCTCAGGGAGTGCCAGGGGTGTCGGTGTGACTTTCTCCACCAGCCTGAGCTCCATCTGCTGGGCCACGGGGTCAGCTCTCCCTGGGCCTTTCTGCTGGCTCCCGGTGCATCGTTGGGCTCAGATCATTCCGTCCTCACATTGGTGTGGAAGGTGAAGACGGGGGCAGATCCCGGGATGCCGCACTCCACTGTTTCAGGAGCGGAACCGTCTAAGGCACCGTCTTCTGAAACAGCCGGGGAGAAGAGGGAGGGGGGATCAACAGATACACACTTGTCTGTTATACACACATATATGGATGCACATGCTAATTATAACTTGCTGTTCTCTTGAAGGACGCAGATGCACACGCAGGTGTCCGAATGCAGGTGCAGCGATGCTTTCAGTTTTTTTATTGTCTATTTAATTTGAATAAAGGGTAACTGATTGCCAGTGGGCATATTTTCATATCAGCCATCAGTTGTTCCTCGAATATGAATAAACACAAGTTGAGGTGTCAGCTTGGTGTTATACTGTTTGAATACACACCTGGGAAAAAAACTCTGTCACACAGATGTCTCCTTTGATGATTTGGTCTGGGCACAGTCCAGGCAGGGATACACACACACACCAAGGCACACACAGCGCCTCTTGATCCTTGCAGGATAAGATCTTGCCTGGGGCAGTCTTGACTGCAGCCAGGATCCCAGCCAGAACTCCTGCAGCACATATCAGGAGAGGGGGAGAGAGAAGGGAGGCGAGAGAGAGCGAGAGAGTGAGAGAGAGAGTGGGAAACGGCACAACTGATGGAGAATACACAGGCCGGCGACACTGACACACATTTAAAAGCTTTGTTATAACATATTTACATACACATACGTATTAATTCAGCTTTCTTAAACCAGGAAAGACTATTGAGAGAAAAATGTACAGTTGGCTGGAAACAGAAAAAGACACATTTTAATAAATCATTCCTGAAGAACTCTAAAATCAGTTTATACATTTAAATCCAGATTCACTTCTTACAAAGTCTTTTTTGATCAGTCAACCAACATTTCTATTAGGTGTGCAGGATCATTATTGGCCAGATGTTGGTGTAACTCAACAAGGACAATGTTTTTATTTCTCTGTCTCACAACGGTTCTAAGAATCAGTAACAGTAGTGACGTCATGCTGTTTTTGTAGTCGATGAAATCAGTGTTGTTTCAGGTGCCGTGGACTCCGACTGTTTGTCCAGTTTTAAATGTCCTCACATTGACCTAGGCTCCGCAGGTGTCCTTATATCTGTCCCTTCAGCTCACACACTGTCAGATTGGCTTTGTTTTAAAAACCAGGCTTATCTGCCGCTCACCGTCTATTTTGTTCCCTCCACACAGTCTCTGCTCCATTGCCATCCAGCAGGCATCAGTCGCCACACCGCCCTCAACATCCCTGAGTCAGTGTCACAGGAGGCCAGGTCTCTGCTGGAGCAGGTGACGTGAATTTACTGTTTTAATCCAAAAAACAAAACAAAAAAACTATTAGTATTTTTACTTTCCACAGAGTCAGAAACAGACATACACACACACAGATCTCAGTTGGTTTATCTTTAACACAACATTTCCATTCACATTAGCAAACAATGAATACATTTTCAGCAAATTATCTAACTTTTTTGTGACTAGGATTTGTGCTTTTTTACATGTATTTATATGTTTACAGGATTTACTTTGTACATAGAAATATTTACTTTTGTCCCCGTGCAGCTGCTGCAATACAACCCAACAGAGAGACTGGGAGCAGGAGCAGGAGGAGCGGATGACATCAGATCACACCCTTTCTTTGCTACAGTCAGCTGGTCTCAGTAGAAACTGTGGATTGTGGGACCTGAAAACAGAGATGCATGCTGGGAAACCAGCTATTCCAAAATGAACCTTTCCCCAGAGGACTTCAAATGATATCGATTATAATGCACATCTTCATTATGCATTTCTCTTCATATTGCAGTGCATGTCATTTATGCCAGGTCTTTGGTGAGTTTTACTTACTTTGCAGTGATGGTCGATTCGTGTGCGTACATAACATAAAACAACACGTGTGGTGCAATAATAAGTCAGGTGACTGAATGAGTGTTTACCAAGTTCGTTTACTGTGATGTGTGTTTAATTCAAACACAGATAGAATCCACATTTCTAATAGACACGTGCACTAGAGTTCATTTTTTGCCATCAGTAACACTTACGTCATTCCTGATCAGTCACTGAGAGAGTCCAGGGTTTATAAAGATGTCCTGAAATAGACATAAACACATATCATATTTTATTTCTTACCATTTTTGGATCAACACATTTTACTAGCAGTAAGATCATGAGTAAATAGGAAAGAATGGACACTGTGCAAAAAAAGTGAACGACATTAGGTAAAAAATACTTAAAATATTTTGTTACTCAGTAACTCGGTAGATAAAAGTAAAAAAAGTAGTCATTCCACTGTGTTTCCCAGAAAAGAAATGATGCTGATACATTATGAAACTTCCCTTTTATACTTGACTTATTTAAAAAAAAATCATGTCTCATTTTAAGGTCATTCTTGCCATATGTTTAATACTAAAAAGTAAAGGTCGTGCTGTTGTTTACAGCATCGTCACATCATCTCTACTACATCATGTATGAGTTGAACTGTTTGTACTGAATTAATTACAAGTTTTCAAAGAGATACTGAAAATAGTTTTGTAAGTTTTCAAAGAGATACTGAAAATAGTTAACAATCATGTTCTGCTTCACGTTCACTCCTGTCTGTGTATGCCCCCCCCCCACATAAATATACATATAGTGCCTTTTTTAATTTTTTCACAAAAGTCATAGCATTGTATGTAAGTCGTGTAAGTTTTTGGTCAACATTAGGCATTGCAAAATAGGATGATGAATTGTGGGTAATTTCAGAATAAATTATACATTTGTTGGTTCAGTTATGGACGTGAAGTCACACTCAAAGGTGTGTTTTTTTTTGTACAGTTTGTACATCTGGTGGTAAATATTATAATTTAAAATATGGAGAGTTTTTTTTTTTAAGTGTTGTCTCTGTGACTTTTCATCTCAGTTTGTTGCAGGTCCAGATTGACATAATGATCCTCACCACGACGCTGACTCTCTGCTGTAAGTCTGTTTTCTCTCATCTTAATTTGTCATGTTTTAACAGCTGAGCTGTGAGAACATAACGAAATGTTTTTTTTACTTATGTCTTTGTTCCTAGAACAAGAGACATTTTAGAGCTGGAATGTTTAAAAGAAAATTGTCATTCTCTCTCTTAACTCCCAGAGACTCAGGGTATTCTCTTGTGTTAGCCTCACTGCCACAGGGTCAGGAGTCCGGTCTGATTAGTGAGGTTTGAAGACCCGTCTCTCATTACACAGTCAAGTGGGGCGACAGGTTCACTTCAGCTCAGAGAAGAAGGCTGTCAATCTCACTCAGCGCAGGTGTAACCAGAACTGAATTTGTTCTGTTCTTTTCATACTTTTTAAAACTCTGTTAAAAACCTTTCAACTTGCATTTGTATTTTCTGTACACACTGTCTGCTTTCTCACACACACCAAGTATTAAGGTGCATTCATTTGACCTGTGTTTTTTTTTTCTTTGTCTCTGTGTTGCGTGCTAAGCCAGGGGGACAGATCTGTCTGGTCATAGACAACATTAAGAGGACATGCCAAGGACTCCCATGATGCAATATGGTCCTCCTGGTAAGTGCGTGTCACCCAGGCCTGCAGGCTGAAATGACCCCTGAACTCCCTTTTAGCAACTTCCTGGAACCTTATCGTCGTGTCTTTCTTTCTACTTTTCTTTTTACTTTCACTCTGTGTTTCTCTGAAACATGCCTCCACACACTCTCACACACACACACACACACACACACACACACACACCCGTGGTTTCCACACACAGGCCCCAGCGAGCAGGCAGCAGCCAAATGGCCTGCCCTCTGCTTAATATTGCTGGTGGTCAGGTTTTGTTTTTGTCTTTGGCGGTTTGACTTTCATTCACAAGGCCCAGGAGAACTTCCAGAGCCCAGGGACCCACAAGTAAACACACATACACACCAACACACACACACACACTGAGCAGAGGAGATCAGCTCTGAGACCTCAGGCATCTTCTCCAGCTTCTGTCCACAGCCATAATGTCATTATGAGGAGACACAAAGCCTCTACATTACGCCTCCATGTTCACACACACACACAACAGTGCACACATGGTCAGTAGATGCAGGTAAGTTAGCTCTGAACAACACGTAACTGTAACTTAGTTAACCACGTCAAATTCAACATTTTTAAACTAGTTACAGTTTTAAACTGATCAGAAAATAATGATATTATTTTTGGGAGATGATCAGATTTTAAAAGACACTAATTGGCTAATTAATCAAATGATAAAAAAAATCATATAATTTGTATTAATTAATCAAAGGATTAATGATAAAAAAAATCATATAATTTGTATAATTCTTCTTATACAATATTGATTTAAATATATATTTTAAAAGCGTTGTCATTAGCAGGACATTTCTAAGTCTATTTTTAACAAAAGAAAAACAGTGTAACACTTCTGTGTCGAGACGAGAAATCCTCCAAATGCCTGTAAACCCGTCATCAGGCCACATTACCAAACTTCTCCTGCGTCCACATCATCTCTTAGTGTTGGTTATGTTTTGCTGCTCGCGGGGTCGTTCTACCTGACCTTCACCGCCACATTGGATTTAGGCTCAACCCTGGCACAGCTCTAAGTGGTGAAGGAGACTCACATGTGCCCAAAAGATGTGTCATGAATACTCCCCCACCTCCCCCCACAGACCTGCGGCGTCTCTTCTCGTTGCACTGTGGACCACCGTAATCTGTGTGGAAAGACACTGAGCCGGGGCGCAGCCACGCCGTGAGCAGCTCCGTAACGTAGCATTAGCGCCACGGTCATCTCAGCGGGCCTGTGGTGTCTCAACTGCTTCCTCACGCTCGGCTACACACACCTCCTGCTCTCGAGTCCGTCTGTGGGAACATCACACTCCACCCTCAACCTCGCTGCCACTCCTTGCCCTTTTCTGACTCCGTCTTTTTCTCTCTCTACTTGTCTTCAAACACCTTCCCCCGGTGGGCAGAGCTGTGGTACTGCAGTCTGACTCTGTAACTCTGCCCTCAACATAAACCTCTGGACCAGCATCTCTTGTTACTGACATTCTGCCCATGTATTAAAATGAGACTAAAATGTAGTAATTTAGTCATAATGGTTCAGTCAACTCTATGTTTAGTCGTGGAAAATTCTGCCTCAGACGATTGGTTCTTCTGTTTCCTCTCGTTTGTTTTATATGTAGTTGATGTTGTAACTGGTTTGGTTACAAACCAAAAAAAAAAAAGAACAATATAAAAAAGAGGACAGACTTACAGAGACAAAGTGCCATCAGATCATTTTCTCCCCTCCTTGTATTTGGGGCTTGTGGGGTTGCCGCGGGCGATCTGGAGAGAAATGTGATGCCTGTTGAGGAGGAGACATTCCTGGGAATACAGCTTGATTGCTGTGCTGGGAGGGGGAATCTGCCCACTAATCTGTCTTTTCCTCCAAGGTGCAAGTCTTCCTGGCTGTGTGACACATTGTGTTAGCAAACACACACAACGTTGAGGTCTCAGCCAGACGACATCTCCCTCACCCCTGGGGAAGAAAGAGAAAGAGAAGGAGGAGGTTCAGAGGTTTGGAGGGGGGGGGGAGACAGCAGATTAGTGCAGATGATGACATGTCACACATCTTAATACTGGGGGGAGGGGGCAAGGCTGCAGGGCTACTGTAAAAGGGAGAGGAGATGCTGAAACAGTTAATATATGACTGTGTTTTTTATGCAGGAACAAAAAGAGGAGAGAAGAGAAAATAGCTGGTCAGTGATGAGTGGCAGAGGTCGAAAAGTTAAATGGACTTCATGATGTCCTGGTGTCTGCAATTACAGATGGGGGAGACTGAGAGTGAGGAAAGGGGATGGACGAGGGTGAAGGGTGAGGTGAGTGGGGCGTGGAGCGGTGTTCTTGAGGGGGAGCGTAGGATCCTCAGAGCCCTGGCACCTTATGGCATGGCCTGCAGTCAGACAGATGCTGCCGGCCATGGCAGTCTTGAGCAGGGCACAGATGAGCCCGGTTAGAAACAGAGGGAAGACGTGCCCTGTCTTACTGAGTGTTAAGTGTGTGTGTGGACTTGTCTGTTAATAGAAAGGGAGCGTGATTTGGTTGTTGATGCAATGCTAACAGAATGGTACATTTACTGTGTTTAGACCATGGTTTTTGCCTTGAGACAAATTTATTTTTCAAAAAACAATAGAAACAGCTGGAACCAGGTATTTTAGTTAATTCAAATTTGTTTGGTTAGTAAAAAAAAAACAGTGGTTTTCTGTTGAACAGTGAGCAGTTGAACGGCATGTTTCTTCTTGTGCTGCTGATGACAGTTGTGATATGTATCATTACAAGTGTGATGAGTGCGAATGACATGAATCACGATAAGGTCGTAAATTTGACACGAGAGGTGGAAGAGGAACACACAGAGTTGGATGTTGGACAAGTATGTGGGCCGTAAAAGTTTCAGGCTTCTGCTTGATCAGACCTCAGATCAAAATAGTTGAACAACCTTGATAAGTTTTCTTTTGCAGCCACAGGTTGGCCATAAATCTTCACGCAGATTTTCTCTGTTGGCAAAACACTCGTCGACTGACGAAAGATTGTTTCTACGCCCCGTGCTTTAAGATTGGATTTGCCCGCTGTCAAACCACCCTGTCTCTGTTCAAGGTAGATTAGAGGAATAATCACCCTGTGTATCTTTACTTGAAATCTATGCTTCTGTTTTGGAAAAATACTGACTCTAGTGGGCGGAAGCGCGAAGTAAGTGGAAGGAGAGCAGCGCCGACTCGCTCCTCATCGTCTATTCTCTCTCCTCTATCTCTATTTTTTTTCAAGTTGTAAGTGATAATATCCTCCCTTTTTCTGCCTCTCAAAAGCTTGAGTGATTTGCTAAGGCGGTGTGTGTGCGCACACATGTGTACACGTATGTGTGTGTGTGTGTGTGTCTCACATTAGCCTTTTTCCATTAAAGCAATTTTGCCGCCCATTGTATTCCTGAAGAGGACCTGGGAAGTCACTAATGGTGCCTTGCGTCCACACTTGCGTGCTCACGCGCACGTCCACGGCACACGTGCGTAAACAAACACACAGCCATCACCTGTCGCCTGATTGCTGTAAAACACACACATTAGCATAGAATGAGACGCATTATCACTCCTGATTATGGTACGCTAAGAGGTTCCACAGAAAAAAGACCTCACACCTTTCCTCCACAATGCCGGCTGCTAGTGAGATAAATGCATGTTGCCCAACATCTCTGTCGCTGCCGAACCGGCCTGAAGACTGTGCTGATGGGTTTAATGGCCTCTTGTTGTCTATGATCATAACTACTCAGATTTGTCACATCAATAATGATTCTTCTTTTCTTTTTTTTTTTAATTCCATCAGTGCAGTGATCCAGCTAGCATCACCAAAACATGTACTTTGCATGATTCCAGGTATTTTTCAAGTGCAACGGAAAGTGTCTCGCTTCTGAATCCAAATAAGAAGGCAGCTGACGCACAAACGCCACACAGGGTTGAAGCACATCCGTCAGGGAGGAGGCAGCGGGGCAGGGTTCGCAGGTGGCCTCCTCTTCCCTGCCTCGATCAGCGCAGGAAGTGTCAGTCTGGTGCCGAGGAAGCAGCAGCCACTTGTTTGAGCTGAAGGTCGCCCCCGGCCCCCTGCTTTAGGTAATGTTTTCTTAAGTCTCAGGTCACTAATGAGGTCCTGCCATTTTTAAAAGCTCATTTTATTCAGTGTTCGAGGAGAAACAGGAGGAAGGAGGGAGGATGCTGTCGTTGGTGGGATTTTGTTTTACCATTTTCTCATGTATTTCCTGTACTTTTCCTTTTTTCCCTACTTTTTCTTCCACAGTCTGTTCAGGTCAGAAAAGTCATTAGTGGGTCAGACTGAGGTGGGAAATTCCCTACATTTAGGTTTACACACACACACACACACACACACACTGTACGGTTGCCTAAAACGCTGGCTTACAGTCCACTGCACATTTACTGAAATCCAACCTAAAGAATTATTTGTACTGTTACAGATAAACACTAAAAAGTTCATGTGAGCAGAACAGCAAAAATAAATACAGTAGATAATTCTTGAAGCATTGCACAAGTAATAGACACACTGCTGGGATTTAGACATTTAGCTAGAAAAACAAATAGTCAGAAAACACATGATCACCCATGCACACACACACATGCACACACACACACACACATGCACACAGAGAGAGGGAGTTTGTGATAATGACATAATTGTCCCAAAGCACACAGCCATGCAAATAGGGAAGATGGCTTGTGTTGCCATCCGTAGGTCTCTGCCATCTATTTCCATTATTCTAATGCACTGCAACTGATGACCTGCTCTCACACAATTAACTGTCAGAGAGAGAGAGAGGGAGAGAGAGGGGACAGAGAGAGAGGGAAAAAGAGAGAGGGAGAGAGAGAGAGCCGTATTTGGGATTTTTGAGTTTTTCTCCACCTGATTCCCTGGTCTGTTTAAAAACAAGTCTGAAACATAAGTTGTTCAACAACTCTTTTCCACTTCTTATCTTTTCACCCCTGGAATTTGTGAACTAAGAACAGAGATATTTTACCACCGTGACAGCTTCCTACACTTTCTCATTCCTGCAGTTTCCCCCTCTCCTTTTGTTTGTCCAAGATTTTCATTTGTTGAAAGTTGTGGATGCCTGTGTGTACATGTGTGTGTGTGAGAAAGATCGGAGGAGAATGGGCTGTTGATTCAGGTCTGTTCCTTGGCTCTGCAGCTCATAGTCTTGGCCCGAGTTTGATCCATGTGATTGGATCGGGGGGTTTTGAGGTGGCTGATGGGACAGAATTAGGCCAAGTGGCACACACTGCGCACACTCCATGGCGTGCAGATGGACGGAAAGTGAAAGAGCCGTGATTTCTCATTGTGTCCAGCCGTCTTTCGGGGTGAGTGCAATACCCCCAGAGTGTGTCTTCAGTCCAAGAGCTCCATTCTCCAATCAGCGGCTGCCGCTTCCTGCGTCCAGAGACACGCCTCTCCAAGATTTCATCTCTGTATCAGAGCAGAACTGGGTTGTAAGCAGCTTAGAGAAGAATAATGCAACGCAAGATATGGCTGCTCAGCCTTTGTTTGGCCACTTTAAAAGATCCCAGCACTGTTTTCTCCCACAAAAGTTTTCTAAAAAGATAAATCAGCAGCAAAGCTTCTTACACAAACAATGAAGAAAACACATGGCTGAAGTCACGCAGCCAGCGCCTCTGCACTGCCGTCCTGCCACTGAAAGTGACCTCACGCGCCCAGGTGATTTGAGATGCCCACCCACCTCCAGAACGTCTGTTTACACACATTTCACAAGCGATTAAACAGATATGAAAAGGTTAAATAACTGAGGCAGAGGCAGTTCATACAGATCATATTTAACCTCTTACCTCTGGAGCCACCCACTGTGCTCAGCCCTGCAGCTTATCCGCAATGGGATTCCCACCCAGACTGTTGTGTAAGGGTTCCATCTGACCCGCACAGCTCCGCTATGCATTCATACACTGTGTGGAGTAGATGTGGCCGTTAGTTAGGAGATGAGTAACTACCTCCATGAAAAAACAGGAAATAGTTTCTGTTCTCAGATGTTAGAATTTCATTTTTAGTAATCAGTATAAACAGTAATGGTTAGCAAAAATTTGAGTGGGAAATACATAAAAGTTATAGTAGTTATAGAAAATAAATGGGATCTAGCGTCAACTGATTCAGAGGCGACATCTGAAGGGCCTCGATTTCAGTCCTCAGAGGATGTGAAGACCTCTGAAGGCCCAGACCTTCTTCCTGAAGATCAATTCATCTCCACTTATAAGAACTAAATGGAAACCAGAGGAGCCCACGGCAGATGAAAGTGCTAACATGATGTACCCCGTCTGGGTTGAGTGATCTACTTAGAACAGCAACGGCAGACCCAGCCAACAGAAGCCAGATAGATGCCTGAGCATCCTGGCCCCGGACCAAACTCCCCTTAAATCTGATACGACGGCTAATCTCTAATCTGGAGATTTACTGGATCTGTTCCCCCGTCCCTCTGTTTTCACTCCTCTCTCTCTCTCTCTCTCTCTGTTTTCACTTCTCAACATACAAATGGAGCAATCTGTGAGTATTTCACAAATGCATTTATCCCAAAATGTGTTATTAAAGACTGTCTAATTCCTGGCCTGCTGTCAGTTACCTCAGCCCCACCCCCCGGGTTATTGAGCACTAACAACACACGCACGTTTCTTTTGCAGATGGTCACATAATGCACAATCAGCCAAACAAGACGGCTGATTTTAGGGAGGAATGCTGGACTCCCCCCTTTCCTTTGGAGGCCATCCTTGGTGGACACTGCTCACTGGAAACTCATTAATGTGAGCTGCGAGCCAGCACTCGTTTTCTTTTTTTTCTTCAGTCCAGTTCCAGTCCAAAAACCTGCAGCGAGGAGGAGCTCCCCTGCTTAGAACAATGTGGTCAGATCACTGCAAGGCAAAACCAGTGCCAGCCATTGACCAGAGCGTTCTTCTCAACTCTTCTGTTGAAAACATTTCATTTGTTTGGGACTCGGTTTCCTCCGGTGCCGACAAAGAAATATGAAGACGTGGTGGTGGGAATTCTGAACTTCCATTCATTTCCCAGTAAAGACTGCCTACAAAGTTTTCTACCGGAGTTATAAAATTATTTTTAAAATATAACTGAATGTAGTTTGAGTCCAAATGTCTGTGTTCTGACATGTTGTTATGACGCTGTTCTACAGGAAGTGGTCAGTTACGGCCTTCTATCTGTGTTGACGCTCACTGACCCTCAGCTGAGGACAACAGACTGTTCACAGACACCACTGTGGCCCAGGTCAACAGAGGACAGGTCTCCCCTAATGTGCATCTTCCTCTCCTTCTGCTTTTCTCTTCACCGTCACTGCCAAAAAGACAATACTTCCCTCCCTCCTCGTTCCAGCTTTCCCATACTTAGGCCCTCGCAGCAATTATGCCCAATCACGGCGCCTCAAAAGGAAGCGACCGGGGCTTGTTTGTGCCTCCACAGTCATTAAGAGGGGGCGAAGAAAGGAATTAATGACTTAATTGAGGAGCAGAGAAAATGGGGGAATCACACGGGCTCCGGGAGCAGGGAGGGGAATGGGGGGGCATGAATGGGACGCCTGGAATGCTCCTGAAGCAGGGGATTGTGGGATTGCTGAAGTGTGTCAAGATTTTTGGTTGTTCTCCAGAGCAGATGGCGGCTTGTCGTTCGCATACCATCTATTCTCCTCTTTGTAGAACCACAACGACAGCTTTTGTTTCTCACCATCACTTTGCAGCAAAAGTTCATGGACCAAAAAAAAAAAATTTTTTTTAAAATGACACGACCAAAACTGACACACTTGTCCACATTTTTCGAGAGGAACAGTCCCAACCCCTCTCCCACTCTCTCTCTCCCCCTCAGTGTCCCTTTCTTACTTCTTAAGTTTGACCAAACCAGAAAGGATGCCGTGTCTGAAGAGCCGAGGTGCCAGCTCTGGCACAACTCTATTCATCCCTCTCTAATGTGGCAGGTTCCCCTCACTGCCAAGCTCCAGCTCCTGCATTGTGGACTCCTGATTACTGTGGATAAACATGCAGGAGGAGATCGTCCTCTCTCCACTTCCATCCGCACCAACTGAGACTTGACAGATACACTGTCTCCAGGAAATTCTGGCTCATCTCATCCCTTCAATCTCTCCCCGCGTCCAAGAATTCAAGCTGATAAATAATCAAAAAAGAAGCCGACCAAAACTCTGAAATGTTGTTCTGTGATTGTTGAAAAAGAAAAAAACACAGAGAGAGAGAGAGAAAACTGTGAAACACCGATGGATGAGGATCCGTTCAGCCCGAGGGGCGACAGAGCTGCTGTTAGCAAACTGAGATGCTTTCAACTGTTTCCTTTTTGTCTTTGTTTCTTTCATGTGTCCAGATTCCTGCAAGCTTTCCTTCTGTAAACAGCAACTGAGGCTTATTTGGGAAGTGGCAAGCACCTAGTCAGGGCTGAATAATTAATGTATGCTAATGCTAACAATATATTAGTTATTCAAATGTGATCCTTTTAGACAACAGCGCTGTTTACCCTCCATTACTGCCTCTGATCGTCCACTCCAAACGGCAGGAACAAAAAGAGAAGAAAGCAGAGGAGGAGAGGCCTGCTGAGAGAACGTGACACTAGTCGCCGGCCGACAGCAGCCAGCACCACAAAGAAACACGGAAAGATTACCATGACAGAGAATACTCATGTTAATATAGCACATGACCAGGAGCCCTAACCCTCGGGGGCCCGATGCAGTCTGCATCTCCTCCTCGAATCTCCCTCTTTTCTCACTTTTCACATTCTCAATTCTCTTTTCACGTTTCTCCCCCTGCATCTCTCAAGTCTTTCTCTGTTCTTCACCCATCTCCTCCTCTTCTTCTCTTTCCCAGCCCTCTGCTCCTTCTCAGTAGACGTCTGAAGGGCCCTTCAGTCCGCAGCAGATGGGAACTGGTTTCAACCAGGGCAGGGGCCAACGTGTGGGGGATGAAGGGAGGGAGGAGGGCGAGGCTCTTCGTCTGATGGATTGAAGGATGGTAATGTGTCTGCATTAGAGGAGAAGAAAAGGGCCTCCCATTGATAGATTAAGGACCAGGTTAGACGCACTTGAGAACCATGGGTTTCTAACGTTTAAGGTGAGACTCGAGAGCCGGGTCAGGCATTAGCATGTGTTTTTTTCCTTGTCCCATTTTCTCTAAAGGTATCTAACAACAGCTGTAAATCTTACCAGGAACTATAGTTGTCGTCTCCCAAATGGCTTCTTAGATTTGTGGGTTGCTTAAATTATAGCTTAACAGAAAAAATTTAATTTTTTTTTTAATAAAGAAGAACAAAATCCTAAAAGAAATATACAATTAATATGTGGTCTGTGTCTCTGCACTTCTG